ATTTCCTATCTTTCTTTTTTCTTTTTTTGACAGGCAGAGTGGATAGTGAGAGAAAGAGACGGAGAGAAAGGTCTTCCTTTGCCGTTGGTTCACCCTCCAATGACCGCTGCGGCCAGTGCGCTGCAGCTGGTGCACCGCGCCAATCCGAAGGCAGGAGCCAGGTACTTATCCTGGTCTCCCATGGGGTGCAGGGCCCAAGCACTTGGGCCATCCTCCACTGCACTCCCTGGTCACAGCAGAGAGCTGGCCTGGAAGAGGGGCAACTGGGACAGAATCCGGCGCCCCAACCGGGACTAGAACCCGATGTGCCGGCGCCGCAAGGTGGAGGATTAGTCTATTGAGCCACGGTGCCGGCCCAATTTCCTACCTTTTTGAGTATATTAATGAAGGATTTTTTTTTTTTTTTGGCAGGAGGAGTAGTCTTCACTTTGTATAGTCTGTTTCTCCCAAGTTTTCTGTTATTTTTGTTTGTTTCCCTGAATATTTTGGTTCCTATCTTTCATTTAGAGGTCTTTAGAGATGGTACTTTTTTTTTTTTTTTTTTTTTGCTCTGTTTGGGGAGGGCAGCCCTTTGGAATTTCAGATTTGGACTTTATTATATTTAAGATGCTAACTAGATATACAAGTAAGGGTTTTGCGTAAGGTGGTTAAATGTATGATTCTGGAGTTTAGGGGAGATCTAGGGAATTAAATGTCGGTGTAGTGGTGTAAGCAAATGATACTCAAGTGCATTGAATTACATGAGATTGCCTAATGAGTGAATGTAGATAGAAAAAAGGAGTGAATTCTAAACTCTTAGCATGTTATCATTCAAGGGGAGATCTTGCCACCAGAGATATAAATTTGAAAGTCATCAGTAAAGAAATGGTGTTTGAGTATTCTTTCTTATAAAGGAAACAGAAGGAATTACAGTTTCCTATGGTCACTTAAAAAAAAAAAACAAAACACCTCAGTTGAAAATCCTGCTGAATTTTGTATCTCTGATAAAAGCACAGATAAGAATTCTCCTCATTCTCACTTTAAAGGCTAAGCCAACTGCACAGCAACCAGCAATTCAGTGAATTTTCAACTAACAATCATTTTACCTTGCTCCCTACACCAGGGAGTGTTTAACAATGTCAGGAACATTTGTTGACATAAAGGCTCTACTGACATCTAATGGGTGGAAGCCAGGCATGCTTCTAAGCTGCACAGGCAACAGCTCACTACAAAGAATCACACAGCTCAAAATTCAGTAGCACTGTGCATGAGAAACATTGAGATAATCTCACTGTATTATCTTGTTTATTCTGCTATTTGTCAGAAATCGGGAGAAACAATTCTAAACATTTCAGTATCTGAGGATGTCAAATGTTTATGACCTAAGTTACACACTGATAATAATATGAAATTTGACCAGAAGATTGTTGGCTTTTTGCTTTTTTTTCTCTGTCACTGTGTTTGCTCCTCCTCCGCAACAGTGTAAACAAGAAATACAAATTGTCTTTCTGGACCTGGGTTGTGAAATCCTTATGAGGAGCTCACACAATGGTAAATATACCCTTGAACTAAAGCATTGGTTTTTGTTTCCCCCCTGCAGATGTTTTCAATTACTGAGACAATTGGCCAAAAATAAAGGCACAGTTACAAGCATCCTCATCAGACATGAGAACATTTTCTGTCACATCTGCCTGTAAATGTTCTGAACTATATTGATGCCAGATTTATTGGTCGTGCCAGCTGATCTATAGATTCTTTTGTGTATTAAACCAACCTTTTTAATGCATTGTGATTTGTGATTTTCCTGTCATTGTCCCTGTGGTATCCTGCTTGATTTGGTTCAGAACTCAAACAATTAAATTTTTTTTTTTTTTGACAGGCAGAGTGGACAGTGAGAGAGAGAGAGAGACAAAGAGAAAGGTCTTCCTTTGTCATTGGTTCACCCTCCAATGGCCGCTGCCGCCGGCGCGCTGCGGCCGGCGCACCGCGCTGATCCAAAGGCAGGAGCCAGGTACTTATCCTGGTCTCCCATGGGGTGCAGGGCCCAAGCACTTGGGCCATCCTCCACTGCACTCCCGGGCCACAGCAGAGAGCTGGCCTGGAAGAGGGGCAACCGGGACAGAATCCGGCACCCTGACCAGGACTAGAACCCGGTGTGCCAGCGCCGCAAGGCAGAGGATTAGCCTATTGAGCCACGGCACCGGCCTCAAACAATTAAATATTAGCCTACCATAGAGCTGCCATTGTGGCACAGAAGGTCAAGCCAACACTTGTGTTGCAGCCTGCCATATGAGTGCCAGTTGTAATCCCCACTGTTCTACTTCCTATCCAGTTCCCACAAATGTGACTGGGAGTGCAGTAGAAGATGGCCAAAGTACTTGGACCCCTGCTACCCACATGGGAGACCAAGATGGAGTTCCAAGTTCTTGGCTTTGGTTTGGCCCAGCTTCTGTGGCCATTTGGGGAGTAAACCAGCCAATGGAAGATTCATACTCTCCCTCTCTCCCTCCCTCCCTGATTGCCTCTCTCTCTCTCTCTTTCTCTCCCTCTCTCTCTCTCTCTGTCTCTTCCTCTCCCTCTCCTTCTGTAACTCTGCCTGTCAAAACAAATAAATAAGTAGAGAGTGACATTGTGGTTCAGCAGGTTAGCTGCTACCTGCAAGGCTGTCATCCCTAAGCCTAAGACAGCTAATACCTTTATAGCTTCTTTGTCTGTTTACTGGTTATTGGAAGCCCATTTCTAAGCCCAGATTCCTGGAAACATCTCAGTATCTGGCAGATTGCTCTGGGATTTCAGATCTGCTCTAAAGAGGATCAGTAGAGGCCTCACGAGCCCCAATTCAAAGGAGACCCATGCCAGGGAAGCCTCGGAAACATTTCCTGACCCAAGACAATCCACATATAGTCCAGGATGATAATCTTCTCCCATTGTGCCTTAAATTTAGAGTAGTTCCCTATTAAAAAAAAGCCTAAAATAACCATTCTCATGCAAGTGGTGTTTTGAGATACTGCTCTTAAAAGAAACCCATAAAGTGGAGAAGAAAGCATGATAGGGCAGGACAAGAAACTAAGCAAATACGTGGTTTCTCCTGAGGTCTAGCATTAGCCTCATCACAGCCCACAAAGTTGTCCCACCTTGAGGCAAGGGAACTAGCCTGTTGTATCCCCCTGAATCAGTCAGTTATTGGTTGTGGACCAATCCCAGGGAGAAGGGGTAACTTCTAAGGCATCTTCTAGGCAGACTGTATTCTCTAGCTGAGATGAATAACCTGGAGAAAGGTAGAGTTAGGAAATTTAAGCACCCAATATTCACAGCATCTGTAGAAAGAGTATGCTGGCTCAGCAAAGATGATCTGGTCAGGGCATCAGCTGTATCTATTATGCCCAGAAAATGTGCGTGACCAGAATATTTGGTGTTCATGTCCAGCTTTGAAGCATTTTCCTAGAGACTCCTACTTAGGATATTTTTTCCAATTTGTTTGTCAAAATCAGGATTCTCCACTTTGAAGTCTACAATTACCTATGGATATTAAAAGGTTGTCATTTAAATTTTTAGATTTGCTTCTCACTGACTCTACTATCTGATATTAATAATTAACCTGAAGACTAATTTAACCAAAATTTTCAAGCTGAGTTCACAAAAAGAAGGGCAGTTTAAAGAAAGTTTGTGTTAATGATCTAATGCTATCCTGGCCATGGATACTTTAAGCATACTCTGTGTTTTCTTCTACTTGGGAAGAAGTTGGGGACAGGAACAAATGTAAGTGAAGGGTGTATTTTCATTTGAAATCCATCTTTGTTGTGTATGTACAGAAAGCAGAATTCAATCAGTGTTACATGAAATTAACTTCCTGCCTTTTTAGAATGCCAAGTGAATGTCCCCTATTCTCTAGCACCTGGTGGTTTACTCTTTTTTTTCTTTCTTTCTTTCTTTTTTAATCTGAGTGCTTTGGGAGCTTTGTATAACTTATGTTCTGATATTCTCTGTTTTACCCAGGCTCTTACCCTTGCTTCTGGACAAGAGTAACTTCCAGATTGGTGTTTTCTTTGAAAATAGATTCTTAGGGGGGCCGGCGCCATGGATAACTTGATTAATCCTCCGCCTGCAGCACTGGCATCCCATATGGGTGCTGGGTTCTAGTCCTGGTTGCTCCTCTTCCAGTCCAGCTTTCTGCTGTGGCCCGGGAGGGTAGTGGAGGATGGCCCAGGTGCTTGGGCCCTGCACCCACATGGGAGACCAGGAAGAAGCACCTGGCTCCTGGCTTCGGATTGGAACAGCTCCAGCCGTAGCGGCCATTTGGGGGGTAAACCAATGGAAGGAAGACTTTTCTGTCTCTCTCACTGTCGAACTCTATCTGTCAAAAAAAAAAAAAAGAAAAGAAAAGAAAATAGATTCTTGGGGACCTATGTCATGGCGCAGCAGGTAAAGCTGCTGCTTGCAACACTGACATCCCATGTGGGTCTGGTTTGTGTCCCAGCTGCAGTGGAAGATGGCCCAACTGTTTGGGACCTTGCCACCCACATGGGAGACCTGGAAGAAGCTTCTAGCTCCTGGCTCCATCCTGGCTAGGTGTGGGCTATTGTGGCCATCTGGGGAGTGAGCCAGCAGATAGAACATTCTCTGTCTCCTGCAGTGCCAGCAATATGGGTGCCAGTTTGAGTCCCCACTGCTCCGCTTCTGATTCAGCTCTCTGCTATGGCCTGGGAAAGCAGTAGAGGATGGTGGCCCAGGCCGTTGGGCCCTGCACCCATGTAGGAGACTAGAGGAAGCTCCCGGTTTCTGGGTTTGGATCAGCCCAGCTCCAGCCATTGGAGCTATTCAGGGAGTGAACCAGCAGATGGAAGATCGATATATCTCTCTCTCTCTCTCTCCCTCTCCCTCTCCCTCTCCCTCTCCGTAACTCTGCCTTTCAAATAAATAAATAAATCTTAAAAAAAAACTGATAATTCATGTTGATTCTCCTAGGGTAAATTTTTTAAATTGTCTATTAACAAATTGACTATATTTTACTGTTTTAACAGGTATGTTGTCACAGCACCTAAAGTATTCTATGTTGGAGCCTCTGAAAATGTAGTAATTCAAGTTTATGGATACACAGAACCATTTGCTGTGACTGCTGCTATTAAAAGTTATCCAGATGAAAGTTTTGTATATTCTTCTGGCCAAGTTACTTTATCCCCAGAAAATAAATTCCAAAATTCTGCAAACTTAACTGTAGGTATTCATCTCATATTTTCTTCTATATGTCAAATGTTTCTTTATAAAATATATACATAGATAACAACATTGATTCCTTTTAGATATGTGGACACAAATATGCTATATATCATGCAATAAAGTGAACTCACTAGTTGATGTGAGATTAAGCACCATTATGTTTATATATATATATATATATATATAAAATGGGAAATGTTAAATGGTGAATCTGTTTCTGATTTGGGGATAATATACAGGTAAGGTAAAAGTCTGAAGTAGGTAAAGGTTATTAAGATGAAAGATTTGGCGGCGTGAGTTGAAAACTATCAATTGACTCATAAGTATTCCAAACTTACGTGATAAATACTAAGAAGAGATCATGTAGATGTTAAAACTTAATATAATATTAGGAATGCACACACACAAACATGAGTTTGGCTCTGTTGTTCTAAAGAATTTCAGAAAAAGGAATGGAGAACATTTTTAGCATTTGTTTTCCTAACTACAAACCATAAAATACTAATTCCATGGTCCTCTAAAATATTTTTTCTAAAATATGAAATTTTTTATATTTCTCTTTGGACTTTAACCAAAGTTTCTTTCAAATAAGTTTTTCAACAATGTATAAGGAAAACTAGAAGTGCGTACAACCATATTATTATAAAATACTGACCCAATGCAATGTATTTGAAGAGAGCCATATACAAATTATATAATGACTAATACTTAAGAAAAAACATTGGTTAAAAATGATTTAGACTTTCAGCATTTCTAAATATAAATATGAAGAGCATTTCGTTCATTTGCAATATTATGAGACAAGTCACTGAGTACTTTCTATGTGAGTTATGAATCCTCCCAATTCTCCTTCCCCTCCATTGCTGATAAGCATTTGAACTTTTGATCATTTGTCAGTGACTTTTGGTGTTTTGTCTGTTAAACATTGAATTTTTTTCAGTGATTGTCATTTAAATTAGAGATTAAATCTGGATTAATTTTAAAGTAACTTTTAAACTAAATTTGATAAGAAAATACAAATCAGAGGTATTTCCATAGAAAAATGAACTGTTTTATTTTACAAAATATTTATGTTTGTTAGAATATAAAGAGTTATTCAAATTATTAGCATGGATACATAAAAGGCAATGCTTTTATTATTTTAGAATTATAATAGTCCTCCACTAAATTTTTTTAAATAGATACAACCAAAAGATTTATCTGAAGCTGCAGTTTCACATGTGTATTTAGAAGTTGTATCTGTCCATTTTTCTAAAGCAACAAAAATTCCACTACGCTATGACAATGGATATCTTTTCATTCAGACAGACAGATCTGTTTATAACTTGGATGATTCAGGTAATATAACGAGGTAATTTTCATCCAAGGGAAGGGGGTGAGTACAGTCTCATTTTGGTAAACTACACCTGGCTAATAGGAGTATACTGAAAGCCATTGAAAATGCTGCTGATGGTATTGATGCTAACTGCTTGAGATAAGTTGATGATGGTCACCATAATTTTAGCAGTAGAACAAGGTCTCTGTCACTATACATGAAGCTCAGAGTTAGAACTGTCTCTTGGATACCTGGTCAGAGGATGTGTCCAAGGAAAAAGATCATTCTTGTGAGGCTTTCTCTCTCCCAGGTGTTTAAATAGTTAATCACACCTTTAGACATGCAGATTCTTGCCTGCATCTTCCTCCTGAGTTAGAGAATGTTTCATTGATTGGGTTCTAGTGACACAATTAGTTCTTCCACCTCTATTTACAGAATTTCAGATACTAGATTCTTTTTTATCTAGCAGCGATTTAAAAATACAAAAAGTGAATTAGAAAATAGTAGTTCCTAATAATCTGATTCATATTTTAAATACATAAGTCAAACAATTTTTTAAAATCCATTAAGCAAATATTTTATGAAAAGTATTTTTTTTTCCACTATACTATAAAGGCAAGCTGTGACATCCTGATTGATCCTTTCTTTTAAGCTTGGATATTGTTTTGGACTTTGAAATTTTTCTGTGTCTTGTTTTACAGCATTATTAATAACTTTCAGTTTATTTAGACTTGGAGTTTCTTACAATGACAATTTTTCTTACAGTGAAAGTTAGAGTTTATTCATTGGATGAAGACCTAAAGCCATCCCAAAGAGAAGTTATCTTAACTTTTATAGTAAGTATACCATTAGGTAAATCAAATTTTGACCCTGGCATTTCTATTATAAGAACAAAGTTTTAATTATTATAAAACAAGTCACATATGCATTAATTTATTTTGTCAATATTGAATAATGGAAAACATTTATTCAGCATCTACTATGGGTATAATCTGGCAGTTTTATACTTCTCTTATCCTAAATAATAATTTTTCTGTGTAAAATAAATGTTAGTTGAAATATCTTTGAAAACTTCACTAAAGAACAGCGTTTGGTAGCCCTGTCTCTAAAGCGAGTCATATAATCAATTTGTATGCTTTTGCTGTCTGTGAAGCCTGGGCAGATGTGGGAAGTACTATGAGAAGGGCATGGCTTGTTACTGTTGTTACAGCTTTATAATGTCATTATCCTCCTCAATGGATGAGACAGCTAAGGGTTAGAGAAATTCAGTGATCACTGAGATCATTCTGATAACGTTTAGCTGAATCAGGATTCAAACCCAAGCCTGTGTCTCCAGAGTCAACAGTGCTTAGGCTCTCTCTGTTCATTTGGGGGATGATGGGATGTGTCCCTCCATGAACTTTCGAATTTGGAGACCAGGAAAGCACACATAACACACCAAACCAAGTGAAAGAGGATGTAGGACAAATAGCAGGCCAGCTTGAAAGGGAGGCAAAGCTGGAGATGAAGTTCCCCCTCTCTGAGAGGATTACTAGAGGACAAGATGCTAGTCCCAAACTGGGTCTGGAAGGAAACTATGGAGAGGGTTTGATAGAGAAAAGCTGGATTATGTTTCAGGTGTTGTGCAGGGGGAGTTGAGTTCTGGAGCCAGGAAGATGCAAGAGATGGAGACAACTGTGCCGTGACCCCAGCAGACTGGCCTGCAAACACTTTAGGGAGAGCAGTGGCAGGTCTGGGGAGTTGTGGTAAATCGTCTGGCCTCACAGATCCCACCATTCACTGGTTAGAATTTCCTGTGGAGAAAAGACATCAAGCAGGACAGAGGCGATTGCTATGGCACTGTCTGCATGTGTTCAGGTTTGCTGTCAAAGAGAAGAGGGAAGCAGAGGAGCATTTTGGCCATGGAGTGACATTAAAAAAATGGTGTTGTGCAGGTCTTCAAAGAGGGAGGTGCCTTTCTCTGAAGGGAGGAGAGAACCTCCACTTTGACTATGACCTTGTCTAAACAAGATAAGAGTCGGAGAACTCAAGGGGCTTCCATAGCCTTGGAAACTCATGACTGGTGCATAGGGAGATTATTGATGCCATAAACAGGAGTGTCAATTTGTAAAGTCAACAACAGGAGTCACTGTGCACTTACTCCTCATGTAGGATCTCTGTCCTTAATGTGCTGTACACTGAGGCTTAATGCTATAACGAGTACTCAAACAGTATATTTCACTTTGTGTTTCTATGGGGGTGCAAACGATTGAAATCTTTACTTAATGTACACTAAACTGATCTTCTGTAAAAAAAAAAAAAAAAAAAAAAAGAAATTATCAATTCCCAACTTGACTCTCACTGGGATTAAACATGACAATAGGTCTGATCTGATTTCATCATGATTTAAAAAAAAATCATCTATTATTTTTCACTTTATGTTTCTGTGTGGGAACAAACTGTTGAAATCCTTACTTAAGGTATACTAAGCTGATCTTCTGTATATTAAGATAATCGAAAATGAATCTTGATGTGAATGGAAGGGGAGAGGGAGTGGGAAAGGGGAGGGTTGTGGGTGGGAGGGACGGTATGGGGGGGAAAGCCATTGTAACCCATGAGTCGTACTTTGGAAATTTATATTCATTAAATAAAAGATAAAAAAAAAATGGTGTTGTGGAAGATTATTCTAGAATTTCTGTGCAGGAAGGAGGAAGATGGGTAAGACACCTGCTGGGAGTTTAATGTGTCTTAAAGATTTATTAAAAGGCCTTTTTTCCCTAGAAAGTAATCTTTGTTAACCAAACTGCCAAGTGCCAGTTTTTGCCTCAGTGGGAGGCCAGCATCACACATGCTCAGTTTCAACAGAGACTCTTAGAACCTATTAATGAATATTTCTACAAGAACTATAAATCACGTTATGTTTATATATGGCTTCTGTAGTTACAGGTTTTCAAGAAAAGATTAAACTTGCATTTGTTTTTTCTTTTTGCTCAAAGGATCCAGAGGGCTCAGAAGTTGCCATGGTAGAAAAAAAGTTACACTGGAATTATCACTTTTCCTGACTTCAAGATTCCTTCTAATCCTAAGTATATCAAATTATTTGTTGGTAAAGTTATTTCTTATAAAAGCAGTGGATTCACCCAGGGTCACTGAAGAGCCAGTGGAGCTATTACACTTAACTGAAGTGTGCTGATGATGTTGGCTGTTGTTGTCAATCCTAATGAATAACCTAAGGGAAGGTGGCACTTGCTTGGGCTCTTCTGCGTCAAGGCAGGGGGACTGATATAATACTGTCAGCTCTGGGCACCACAGTAGTCATCTCTAATGTAAAGAGCTCTTTCCATGGCAATGTACACACAGTGAACACAGTGGTAATACAGATCCTGGCCCCCAAATGCTGAGAACGCGACAGAAAAGAGAGGAGGGAAAGAATAGACAGAAGATGTCAACTAAGCGTGTGTTTCATTTTCCTTAAAAGTTTTATAATTTTCTCTGACATTTTAGTTCATATTCCCAGAACATGTAAGATATTTTGAAATATGATTTGAGATTTGTATATTATGTAATGCCTTAAAAGTATAACACTTCAAAGAGGTAAGGGAACTGGCATTTATGGATTTCCTACCATGTACCACACACTGGGCTGGGTCATTTATTTATTTGAGAGGTAGAATTACAGAGAGAGGAGGAGACAGAAACAAAGGTCTTCCATCTGCTTGTTCACTCCCCAAGTGGGTGCAATGGCCAGAGCTGGGCCGATCTGAAGCCAGGAGCCAGGAGCTTCCTCCGGGTCTCCCACGCGGGTACAGGGGTCTAAGGACTTGGGCTATCCTCCATTGCTTCTCCAGGCCATTAGCAGAGAGCTGGACTGAAAGTGGAGCAGCAGGGACTCGAACCAGTGCCTATATGGGATGCAGGTGCCTCAGGCAGAGGCCTAGCCCACTATGCCACAGCACCAGCTCCCCCTCTGGCTGGGTACTTTATCACTCTCATTTTCAAGATAAGTAAACTAAGGCTCAGAGAAATGTATAGGCCTATCAACTTCAGACATGGTTAAATAATGAGGCCAAAATAGGAATCAAGATCTCTCTGAGGGCAAGGCTTATCCTTGTTCCTGTTTCTATCATACAGTTTCTCTAAAAACAAACTTATGCTTGGAGCCTGTGCTGTGGCTTAGCTGGTAAACAGCCACCTGAAGTGTTGACATTCCATATGTGTGCAGGTTTGAGTCTCAGCTGCTTTACTTCCTATCCAGCTCCCTGCTAATGGCCTGAGAAGGCAATGGAAGATGACCCAAGTATTTGGGCCCTTGCACCCATGTGGGAGACCTGGATGAAGCTCTTGGCTCCTGACTTAGGTTTGACCCACCCCTGGCTGTTGTAGCCATTTGGGGAGTGAACCAATGAATGGAAGATATCTCTCTCTCTCTTTCTGTCTCTCTCTCTGCCTCTCCCTCTCTAGTTCTGCCTTTCAAATAAATAAATAAATCTTAAAAAATAATCTTATGCTGGCTTTGAGTTATAAAATTTCCAAAACTATATGTTTATATCATTGTAGTTGGGTTTAATCTGATCAAATGGTCCTCAAAATGTAGTCTTTTCTGGCAAATTATGTTGTAAATATCTAGTAATCAGTTATCCATCCATTATGATTAAACTCAAGATTGGTTCAAATGACTAATCAATATTTTAAAATATTTTCTACTTAAATATGTATTATGATATACTAGCAAAAGAGCCCATAGCATGAAAATAAATGTCAATATGTTTACAATTTTCATAAAATGCATTTTTAAATAATTTTAAAATGTCTTCCAAATATTGCGTATTAGGTTGTATATAAATCTTAAGCTGTTGCAGGGTCATCTAGGCATGGAGTTGTAGTCAATGGCCTTGGACCAAGTTTGAGTCCCTGCTCTACCATGATACTATCTGTGTGTTTCTGAACAAGTTTTTTTTTATCTCTCTGTGGCTGAGTTTTCTGGTGACAAAATAGAGATAATAATATAATGTATTCCATAGTATTTCTGTGAAGATTGAGCCAACACATGCAAAGTAGTTAGAACAGTACCTGACCCATAGTATGTGCTCCTTTGAATATTAGCTACAATCATTGAGTGAATTAAAGGTATGTTACTTGAGGATACCTAAAATTTTTGATGTGTTGCTTTTATAGATATGGTTTGTGGACTATTAAAGCAAAATACAAAGAGGACTTCACAACAACTAGAACTGCGTATTTTGACGTTAACAGCCGTGGTACTGATGTCCTTCCAAGATCTATGGTTCTCTGTTGCTGTTAGAGATTGTCAAATCTGATCCCCTAAGTTCTAGCAGTTGTTTCCTCTGAACTGAGATGATAATGCCACCTCTGAATCTCAAGCTCAGTGCTCCTTCCCATCAGCCCCCATAATCAATGATATGTTTGGGAAATTACAATGTTTGGGGAGCAAAATGTGTTATATGTATTTTGGAGATACTCATTTCAGTTGTGCTAATAATTATACATAGCTACTTTGTTCATTTCTCATGTGAACTTTTTCTAATGTTAGCTTATATGCTCATATGTAAGCTTTATTTAAGCCAATTTTCTGGCAACCAGATTGATCACAAAAGGAGGAGTATTTATAACTTGGAAAAAAGACCAAGCACATGTTAAACTTTGAAACATTTAACATGCTAAGCTACAGCAACAAAATACCCTGTGAAGCAATGTAACTCTACTTTGGAATTGTTTATTAACTCTCTTGGATATGTTCATGGTTACAAAATTCTGGTTACAAAGGCCCTTGCTCTGATTTTTTGCTTGTACCCAGAAGGGAGAAGCAGCCAGAACAGTGAGTCACTTGCTTTCCCCATCTATAGCCAGCCTCTCACCACCTGTGCTGGTCACTCTGGAGCTAAGTCTCACTTCTCTCCAAAGGGCAGCCTTCTCCTATTGGGTTAAGCATCCTTCAGAGTGTGGTAAATAGGGCTGGGAAGCCTAGTATTATTTCTTGAGTGGATAAGAAAAAAAATAGCTCCATAAGCAGTCAACATAGTATTATTTGTGAATTATAGCATCAAAGAGATAGAAATTCTAAAACTTCCCTTTGTTCTAATTTTCATTTTTGTAAGAAAGTCATTTTCTACAGCTAATAACTAATAACTAGAGATGATATCTTTCCTAGATGAGAGCTGAGATTTCTGCTCAAATTTTGGACACTGAATCAAATTGCTAAACACAAGAGACGTGCCAAAAAATAAAGGCTTTCCAATGTAATAAACATTAATGAAACTTACTGCTGGGGGAAAGTTTGCACAGATAAACAAGATCAGGACTTTGTCCTTACAGAGCTTAGGCTCTATGACAGTAGCCCAAGTGGCTCAATACTGGCCAGGGCTGTTGGAACAGAAAGATGAGATTGATCACTGTGGAAGATAACAAGGTTTTCCAGGGATACTGATGATTATGATGAAGGGAAGACTATTGGTGTTGCTGCTGTTCACATACTTCATTATGCCAAAGCATTCCTCACTTGAAATACAGTTATAATTTCAGCTGTATTTTTTTTTATTTGCACTTAGATTTGTATTTGAAGAAACCACAATTGTATATTTTAGTGGAACTGGAAAATTACTTCATTAGCCATAAAAACTTTGAAGACTTCAAAATTACTATCAAAGCTAGGTAAGAAAGTTTTTATTTTCAAGTCAGTCTATTCCCTGAGTGTCAAACATACTTCATTTCAAGGTCGAATATGACTTGATTGGCAGTGCTTGCCCCGGGGCCCTAGGTTGAGAAACATCTTCAGGCTCAATGTAGAAACTATTGTAATTGAGCCTATCTACCATAGTTGTGGGTTCAGGTGTATTTTCATGTAGTATATTTGCTGACTCCAATCTTGCTATTGTCGTATAATTTCATAAGCAAAATATGCTAAAGATTGAAGAGCACAGTGACTATTCAGGTGGTTATACTATAAACTATAAAAACTGTATGAAAACATTCTCTTCTCTTATTTTTGACATTTAATATCAGTTGACACACAACTTAATTATCAAAATCAGTTGTAGAATTGATTGAATTGATTCAGAAATCCCAGTTGGCAGATGAACTATGGAAAATTATTTCCTAATGGGGATACTGACTTGCCTGTTTTACATTTAAATAGAGAAAGTTCATGTTTTTCTTTGACTGAAAGGAAAATATGGAGCCCAAAGAAAATAACTTGCCCCCAGAACATATGAGATGGACATGATGCTATCCCTTTTGCTAAAGAGGAGCAGCAGCGAGCGGATCTCTATTGTTGCCACATCATGTCATCGTCATGGTATAGTGTGGCCAGTTACAAAGAGAGCTGGGTCCTAAGTGCAGTTCTCTTTTAATTCATTATGAGCATTAAAAATATGGGAAGTTGGGCAAGTTCTTTTCATCCCTCTGGTACTCACTTTTCTTACTTGTCAACAGAAATAAATATACTTGCATTAGCTCTGCCACTGCAGAGTGTAAGGATGAAATATAAAACTGGTTGTGAGCATTGTTCCAAGAGTAGAAGACAGTTTTCACGTGGTTGTATTTTATCTGCATCTCATTTCTATAGTTGCTTTATTTGAAAAGGGGGTTAATTATTGCATTCTCTTTTGACAGATATTCTTACTATAAGAACGTAACTGAGGCAGAAGTGTCTGTCTTTTTTGGAATCAGGGATGATTTATATGATAGTAGAAAAGAAATGATGGATAAAGCAACACAAAGGATCCAGGTAAGCAGGGATCAAGCTATGATCATAGAAATGGAGAATTCAGTTCACCAGAGTACAGAAATTAAAAATGGACTTTTACCTCCAAATGCTCACAGAACTGAAAAACAGTAATACTTTGGGCTTAGGAAGTTCCACTACTGGAAACAGACAGTTACAGTGATATTTGTTTTCAATTTGGTGACCTGGGTTTGTAAAACCTAGTTCCAGTGACAGTATTATTTCTTTAAGGATATAAATAATATCCTTGAATATACATAATATCCCATCAGGTAGAAAGTGGTACCCAAATTTTAGCCTCAGATTCCAAACATAATTTTGAATCAGATGATCTTAGTCCACTGAGCATCTGTGTACGTGATCCTGCAACTTAACCCAAGGCTTTTGACTGAAAAGAAATGCCCTAAATATTAATCACTTATAACTCATGAAATCAAGCTTATGCTTTGTATTACCCTTAGCTATAACCACAATGTTATTTCCAAGAAGATTTGCAGACTGATGAAAGCAAAATTTGTTGTTTCCTCTTGATAAATTCTTTTTAAATATAGTTTCTACCTTTTTGTTCTCCCCATTGAAAAATAGCTGATCAATGGAGTCGCACAAGTCAATTTCAATACTTCAAAAGCAATTAAAAACCTGCCATATGAAGGTCTAGAAGATTTAAATAACAAGTACCTTAATGTTTTTGTAGAAGTAGAAGAAAGTACAGGTGAGTTCATGTAAACTAATCTATAAAATCACTTCTCACAATTTTTTCTTCTTCCAAATTTTGGATAGAAATCTGCAACCTATTATTGGTACATTCCTGCGCAAAAACATTTATCAGATATGGCCCACCAAGATATTGTCTACCTGCTCCCTTCAGGAGAAATGCTCATGAAAGGCATATTTGTGCAAGATGGTTACCTATTCCCTTGTTGGTGGGATAGCCTTCTCTGTTGTTAAAAACTATTGGTAATACCAGAAAATTTTACTTGAGTAAATAAATGAGATGGTAGAATTATTTATATTGCAGAAGAATCCCATGGTTGTTTGGATTTTTGCTTTATTATTAAATATTCAACACATATCTCTCACCACACTACCTGATGTTTCTTTGAATATTGCCTTGCAAATGAGAACAAGCTTTTCACACTTGTACTATGGTTTGCATGTGATTTGGCCCCCATACATTCAATTTAGTCTCCAAAGTCTTATGTTAATGGTAATAAAAGGATGGCAACGTAATCCGATTATGATGTTTAGAGTTGGAGCTTTGCAGAGTGATTAGATCAGACAGAGAGGAGGCCCCATGATCAACTCCCAGTGGCTTTCTAAGGAAAGAGATAGATAGAAACACATGATCTCTGTCTTTTACTATGTAATATCCTGTGCCACTCTGGAACTCTGCCAGCAGGAATACCATCATCACAGGCCAAGTCAGGAGACCTATCTGATATTAGTCCATGAGTCTCTATAACCATGATCCAAAATAAGTTTCTGTGTTCATATAAGATTAGGCTGTCTCAGGCATTTCTTTTTTTAAAAAAAGATTTATTTATTTTATTTGAAAGTCAGAGTTACACAGAGAGGAGAGGCAGAAAGAGAGAGAGAGAGAGGTCTTCCATCCGATGGTTCACTTCCCAATTAGCTGCAATGGCTGGAGCTGTGCTGATCCGAAGCCAAGAGCCAGGAGATTCCTCTGGGTCTCCCACGTGGGTGGAGGGGCCCACGGTCTTAGGCCATCTTCCTCTGCTTTCCTAGGCCATAGCAGAGAGCTGGATCAGAAGTGGAGCAGCCGGGTCTTGAACTGGCTCCCATATGGGATGCCAGCGCTTCAGGCCAGGGCGTTAACCCGCTGCACCACAGTGCCGGCTCCTGTCTCAGGTATTTTCATTATAGCAATGAAAAATTTTCTACTATGGTGTCTCTTGTAGCAGGATTTTCAACTCATTGAGGGCATCTGATTATGTGAAGAAAAGAATGGGACAAATAATCTGACAGACAGTCTAGAACAGGGCACTGTAGTTGAAACAAATGAATGGGCATCTTATCAACCTCTGTAAAATGTGCGTTGCTAGTTCATAATGGCCAGGATCTTTCAGAGGGATCACAGAAATCAGACTTTGGGTAAAATTGTATGTGAAGTGACCAGAAGATGAATGAATGGCTTGTCCTTATCCAAATAATTAAATAAATAGAACAGGTACTCACATAGGTCACTGTACTACATTGTTTTTGGCAAATCTGAAAGCAATGCATGTTATTCCATTAGGTGAATTCTTCAAAGAAGCCAAAGAAACTGATGTGAAATATGTTCTCTTTCCCTACACACTGAATTTGGTGGCTACTCCACTTTTCCTGAAGCCTGGGATTCCATATTCCATCAAGGTTGGATGATTATAAAATCTAATATGACTTAATTTTACTATCTACCAATAGGCTGCTTAATCTGTAGATGGCAGAAGAGAAGAATCTCAGAGAGATCTTACTCCTCTGTGACTTCCAGCCCAGACAATTAAATGTAGAAGAGACTTTGGTGGGTGGGTAAGCAATAGGACAAGGCAACCAATATGGCTGCAATGGAAAACAGAGCTCAGATTTAAGCCTGGAAATAATCCTACCCAATCCATGGCCTAATTACAAGTGCATAGCACAGTGTCCTGCTCTATTGAACATTCAATAACTATACATTGAATTGAGTTAAATGTAATACTATTATATATACCTGGAGTGGTGAAAACACACTGGGACAACCCCATCTGATTACTGAGTTAAATATTGTCAAGTTTGTGTTTGAGAACAAAAGAGAAAGTTATTTTAGGATTTTCTTGATATGGATTTGATCCAACAGGTGCAGGTGAAGGATGCCTTTGCCCATTTTGTAGGAGGGATTACAGTAATCTTGAAAGCAAAAGTTGTTGTTAAAACTCAGGCGAAAACTGATCTGGAGCCAAGGAAAAGTAAAGCAAATTATCACGATGGAGTAGCTTTGTTTGTGGTTAACATTCCCACTGATGCAACAGCGCTGGAGTTTCATGTGAGTAGAATTCTCATTTGTTGTATCTCCTAACATCTCTTCAGTTTGTGTAGTAGTTAGTGTCCAGACAGATGGGGAAGATTTTATGTGTACATCTAGCAAACTTCTCTGAAAGGTCTGACCTGTGGGTACAGAAAATACAATCTAGTGTGCTGAGTATTCCACAAAGGGAATCAGTCCATCAATTTTGTATTTAGGATATGTTTTCTTTTTATGCTGAACATGATACTATCCAAATTTGAAAATTTTAGAACAACTGCCAGTAGGATACAAAAATGCAGACACTTCTCTTACCCATTATTTCCACTAAAGAACTGTCCACATTCCTTTGCCTCTTCCCACAGCCCTTAAAGCTACTAAAAACTGGCTTTAGCCCTCACCATTCCACTGAAACTGCTCTTACCTAGATTATACATGTATATCAAATATTTTTCATTTCTATTTTTTTCTTGCCTTCTCTGAGACATCTGGTGCGATTGATTGTGGGCTCTGTCACTCCATGTTTCCTTGTTTTACATTTTCCCTCATTGTTCTTTTCTTTATAGCCTTCATTTTGAAACCATAATCCTTGGCTTGCCCTCTGATGGGAGTGATAATATCCTCAGAGTTTAATGAAGACCATCCTGCCTTATGTGATACATCCACTTGGTGACTTCATCAGCTCTTGGAGCTTATGCTTAAGACTCATCCTAGGCGGAGAATCGTAATGCAGTGGGCTTAGCTGCCACTTGGGATGTCTGCATCCCGTATCATAGTACAAGCTGGATTCTCAGATACTCTATTTCAATACAACTTCCTGCTAATGCTCTTGTGGATGCAGCAGATGATGGCCCAAGTACTGGAGTCCTTAGCATATATCTGGAAGACCCAGATGGAGTTCTGGGCTCCTGGCTTCAACTGTCGCAGACATTTGGGGAGTGAACCAGCAAACAGATGATCAATCTCTCTTTCTGTCTCCCACTCTTTTACTCACTCACTCTGCTTTTCAAATAAATAAATAAAACTTTTTTAAAAAAAAGTTTGTCCAAGGTACTCAAGAGCCTTTTAGACGCTGCCTTCTCCCTTTCTTTTCCTTGGATGTTTCAAAGAAGCGAAACCATTACTTTGTCCAGAACTCAGGACTAACTGCAAACCTGAAACCCAGACTTCCCCTGGACGGTTTGTTTCAGTGGATGGTCCCACAGCCATCTGATTTCTCACTCTTGTGCAAGTCACCCCTCTCTTTGTAGCCAATGGGATAATGTGATCTTTTTGAGACCCAAGTCCGAGCTTGATTGACCTTGTCTCTGTTCCCTTCTCCAAACTTATCTCTTACCACTCTTCGCATCACACCCCAAACTCCAGCATCCTGGACAGTTTGTAGCTCCTCAGCACTCTGCTATTTCCATAAGGCTTTTGCTGCTCTACCTTGGATACTCCTCAGTCTTTATTTAGAGTTTAATTTTTAAGTTGCATCCTCCAAGGAGCCTTCTCTATCTACTCTCTGCTAATGGGGTAAGTATTCCCTACTCCATTTTTGTCTCACAGAGTTTGACTTTCCTGAGGGCAATAGCTGTTGTCTGTATGTTCATCTATGTATCCCCATCAACTAGCATAGTTCCTGACCCATATTAAGAACAAGTGAAATTGGTAGGTGAATGCATAATATATCTCTTTCTAAACCTAAACAAGGGCAAAATGTCTCTCTTGTCTCTAATAGCATGAACCATTTTGTCATTTCTCCCAGCTTCAATCTGACCGACCCTTAGTTGTTTGTGAGACCTTGGGGGTGTGAATTAGTGAATGGCAATAATCTCGCTCTTAAAATTACTTTCACCAGCAAATTATATATAATTCTTTGGCTTCAAATAACAAATAGCTGGTTTCAGCAACTTGTTCAATCGCTAACAGAATGTGACACATATGTTTGTGGAGTTCTTTATGACCTTGCACTTCCCTCTCAAGAACAGATCTTGTTTATGCTCCTAAATTCTTCTCCTTGTCTCTCTCCTAAGAGGCAGTAAAATTATTCACCATCATTTGCACTCACAAAATCTCCATCAAATTTTAAGAATTATTGTCAGGAATGACATGGGCAAGGTGGCAAAGTAGGAGATGCCAGCTTTTGCTGACTCACTCTGTAGAGGACGGCAGCATCTTTCAACACTGAGGTAAACAATTGCCATCCCTGACAAGGGCCCTGAGGAGGACTTAGCTGCTTTCTCCCCTCTTCCCTCTGCCCTTGTCCCTAACCAACCATCTAACTGAACAAACAAACAAAAGCCAGCTCTTTCTTCTATTTTGGGACCAGAGCTCCATATCCTCCCAGTGTCATATGTACCCCCCTCACCACAGAGCCATGTACTTCATGGTGCCCATGCTCCAGATCCAGCTCCACGGTTTCTCTGAAATTGCCAGCATTTTAGAACATGACTCTGTGGCCATACCTCATGCACGTGGGCCTCAAGGGTGCAGCTGCTGAAGCTGTGGACTGGCCTGGGGTGGCCCTGGGACCCCAGAGCCCAAGTTGCCCTGTGTGCACCTGTCCTGCAGATCTGGGCTCCACAGCTTCTAAGTGAACATTTATGCTTCTGGCTTTTCAGCCACTGTCACAAAAACACTAACTCACTCTCTATACCTTGAGCTGCGTTTTCTTCTCATAGGCCAACCGCTCAGTGTCCACATCATATATGTCCTTGAATAACCAAAACAATCTTGGGCAAAAAGAATAAAATTGGAAGCATCATACTACCTGATTTAAAAAATATGCTACAAAAATATAGTAAATTAAACAGTATTGTACAGACATAAAGACAGATACACAGAAGAATGTAGCAGAATAGAAAGGCTAGGAAAAATACATGTATTTACAATCAATTGATTTTGAACAAAGATGCCAAGAACATAAATGCAGAAAGGACAACCCTTTCAATAACTGGTGCTGAGAAAACTAGATATCCACATGGCAAAGATTGAAACTGGGCCCTTATACCATACATAAAAACAAATCCAAAATATATTGATTTAAGCACAATATCTTAAAATGTATAACTACTAGAAGAAAACATAGGGGGGAAGCTTTATGATATTGGTCTGAGTGCTAGTTTTTTTGGATGTGAGCCTAAAAGCCCAGACAATGAAAACCAAATATAGAATAATGAGATTGTAACAGAAGAAACAATTAACAAAATGAATGGCAGCATATGGAATGGGAAAATATTTGCAAGCCGTATATCTGACAAGGGGTCAATACACAGAATACAAAATGAACTCAAAACAACTCAACATGACAATAGCTAGATTAGAAATGCACAAGTAAAATGAACAGACATTTCTCATAAGAAGACACAAACAGCCAACAAGCTGTATGAAAAAATGCCCAGCGACAGTAACCATCGAGCAAATGCAAATTAAAACTATGATGAGCTATTAGAATGGCTCTTATTAAAAAGATGGAAGATAAGTATTGATGAAAATCTGGAGCAAATAAATCCTTGCACACTGTTAGTGGGAATGTAAATTAGTTCAATGATCATGTGAAACAGTATGAAGTTTTCTCAAAATATTAGAAATAAAACTGTATATACCACTCCCATGATTGAATATATGAGGATATTTCAAAAAGTTCATAGAAAATGGAATTTAAAAATAAGTTTATTTTGGTACAGAAAAAAATTTGAAATCCGTGCATAGTTTTTCTATAATATACACTTTAATGGTTTTTTTTGAAGACACCTTGTATGCATTAACCTCAATTTTTTTATACTAAAATAAACTTGTCTTTGAATTCCAGTTTCCATGAACTTTTTGACATACCCTCATCTATTCAAAGTAAAGGAAATCAGAATTTCACTGAAGCATTATTTACACTAGCTAGGATATGGAATCAAAATAAATATCAATCAACAGATGACTACATAAAGAAAATGAGGTATATATAAACAATGGAATACTATTCAGCCTTTAAAAGAACAGCTTGTCATTTGTGACAACATAGATGGACCTGGAGGACATTATGTTAAAGTGAAATAAGCTAAACACAAAAAACAAATACCACATAATCTTACTTATGCATAGAATTTTAAAAAGTCAAATCATAGAAGTAGAGAGTGCTAGTTACCAGGAGCTGGGGTAGGGAGGGGAATGTTGACATTTGTTCTAAGGATACAAAGTTTCATTTAGAGGTAAGAATTAAGTTCATGGGGTCTACTGCACAGCAAGTATCACCATATAACTACAGTTAATAACAATGTATAGTATGCTTGAAGTTGCTAAGAGAGTAATTTTAAATATTCTCTCTCTCTTTCACACACACACACACACACACACACACATACACGAAAGTCAAGAATGTGAAGAAGTGAATATATTAATTTGTTTTAGTTATCCCACGATGTATACATGTATCAAAACATCATATTCTGCATATGTATGTATACATCTTTTGTGTTTCATTTAAAAAAGTGCTATTTAGGGACCGGCACTGTGGCTCACTTGGTTAATCCTCGGCCTGCAGCGCCAGCATCCCATATGGGCACCGGGTTCTAGTCCCGGCTGCTCCTCTTCCAGTCCAGCTCTCTGCTGTGGCCCGGGAATGCAGTGGAGGATGGCCTAAGTGCTTGGGCCCCTGCACCTGCATGGGAGACCAGGAAGAAGCACCTGGCTCCTGGCTTTGGATTGGAGCAGCTCCAGCCGTAGCGGCCATTTGGAGGGTGAACCAACGGAAGGGAGACCTTTCTCTCTCTCTCTCTTACTGTCTATAATTTTACCTGTCAAATAAATAAGTGATATTTACTCACCACTTTGGAAAAAAAATTATTGACACAGCCCCCTCCACATTCTCCCTCTCTTCAAATACCTAGTTTCTGCCAGCCTGTGGCAGGAATTGAGTCAATAAGTTGACATGCCAATGAGAAGAAAGCCAATTCTAAAACTTATCTTGGACTCCTCTGGAGCAGCCTAGATTTCCACAGTCCATTTTATTATTTTTAAATCAAAAGCCTTTCTAGGGGCCAGCACTGTGGCTCACTTGGTTAATCCCCCGCCTGCAGTGCCGGCATACACCCCATGTGGGCGCTGGGTTCTAGTCCCGGTTGCCCCTCTTCCAGTCCAGCTCTCTGCTGTGGCCCAGGAGTGTAGTGGAGGATGGCCCAAGTGCTTGGGCCCCTGCACCCACATGGGAGACCAGGAGGAAGCACCTGGCACCTGGCTCCTGGCTTCGGATCGGTGTAGCTCTGGCTGTAGCGGCCATTTAGGGGGTGAACCAACAGAAGGAAGATCTTACTGTCTCTCTCTCCATCTGTCAAATAAAAAAACATTTTTTAAAGCCTTTCTAAAGTTACTTCATAACATAACTTACCATGATATTTGGCAGTGGGATGCTAATCTGCCTTTTCATAAGGTGTTGTGAAGTCTGAAGACTTATAAAATATGTGGATGCATGTGTACTTGTCAAGCACTTAAAACCAAAATTGGCACAACGCGAATGCTAGACAAGTGTTGGCAGTTATCCTCACCACCACCATCATTGTATCATTAAAGCAAACTTAACCACCAATGTTTTACATTTTTTGGCACAATCTTTTTTAGATTAGAACTGATGACCCATACCTTCCAGAAGAATATCAGGCCAGCAATGACTACCAAGCTGTGGCTTATTCATCACCCAGATGAAGTTTCCTTTCTCTTAGCTGGACAAATGGTTACAAGAGTTTGCTTGTAGGAGAACAACTAAGCATAACTGTTACCCCTAAGAGTCCTTATGTTGACAAAATTACGCACTACAGTTTCTTGGTAAGTTCAATAATATGTGCATCTAGTCCTCAGTTTGCAACAATTTCATTACTTATGCAAATAATCCTTACATTGACTCCTTACTTGACATAGTAATATTTAATGAATAATGAATTAATTACTTTAGATGGCACTTTGGTTGTTAAGGGACATTCACAAGTTTTCTCACAACAGAACCTCATGAACCTTCTTTAACTTGCAGACAGCGGAACAGATTGAAAAGCTTGGATGAGCAGCCCTCATTGCAAGTCATAGGAGGTTTAGATTTTCACTCAAATGACCCCTAGGTTGATATTCCTTCTATGCCACAATGCTAAAGATTTGTTCAGAGACTTCATTCAGTCCACAGACTAGTCAGTGACCTCAACAATGTTTTGTGGTCAATCAATGCATCATACAGCAACAGACTGATAGGCATTGCAGTGTTACTAAAGATTTTGCCCTATTTACAAAGGGAAGAATCCTGGATACAGTGATTCCAGGCATTGCCCATTGTTGTTTAAAATACAAAGTAGGAAGGATGTTAGCTTGATATATTGGAAAAGGCATAGGCTTTGAGTCAGCAAAGTCAAGGTTCACATTCATACCTACCAGTACCTTGAACCAGTTTTATATATGAGTTCCAATTTCTATAACTACTAAATGGTATTGAAAAAAATACTGGGGCCTGCGCCGTGGCTCACTTGGTTAATTCTGTCTGCGGTGCCGGCATCCCATATGGGCACCGGGTTCTAGTCCAGATTGTTCCTCTTCCAGTCCAGCTCTCTGCTCTGGCCCAGGAAGGCAATAGAGGATGGCCCAGGTGCTTGGGCCCCTGCACCCACATAGGAATCCAGGAAGAAGCACCTGGCTCCTGGCTTCGGATCAGCGCAGCTCCGGCTGTTGCAACCATTTGGGGGATGAAACAACAGAAGGAAGACCTTTCTCTCTGTCTCTCTCTTTCACTGTCTATAACTCTACCTATCAAATAAGTAAATTTTTAAAAATACCATAAATTGTGAGGGTTAAATATATTCCTATTTTTGTGACTGATACAAAGGAAATGATCAGTGACATTAACTCTTTATCATCTGCCCAATGATCAACTTAATTTTAAGTCCATTCTGATGCTTATTTGTTGCTGTATACTTTTAGATTTCATCTAAGGGCAGAATAGTACACTATGGCATGGAGAAGAAACTCTCAGGTTCGTCTTACCAACATTTAAACCTTTCTGTGACTCAGCACATGGTTCCTACAGCCCATCTCCTGGTCTATTACATCATCACAGAAGAGCAGACAGCAGAATTAGTGTCTGATTCAGTCTGCATAAATATTGAAGAAAAGTGTGGCCACCAGCTCCAGGTGAGATACAAATACTATCCCCAGTCTGAGTCCCTTTTCAGTGACTATGAATCTCACACTTTTATTTTTCAACTAATTTTAGATCCATCTGTCTCCGGATAAAGATATATATTCTCCAGGAGAAGCTATATCCCTTATTATGGAGACTCAGTCAGAATCATGGGTAGCATTAACAACAATCAACAGTGTTACACATAGCATCCAGCAAAGAAGCAAAAATCCCATGGAAAGAGTTGAGTAGAGTAAATCTTCTGTTTACTGATATATGTATTACTGGGGCCAAGGAGCCATTCTGGTTCTGTCAGAGTACCATGTTTTGGTCAAAGGAGAAAGATAAAGGAAAAAGATGCAACCACACCAAAGCCTATCTTCTCAACTGGGTTACTTATTATATCTTGAGCATTATTCTAAGTCTTTACACCTTCCTTTCAGTAACTGTCAGCATCATTTTGTTTATTAAACCATTAGGTGGAATGAGCAATAACCTGATTGACTCTAACAGAGGGTACATTACTATTCCAATTAAATTACTATCCAAGTCTGAAGAAGGAATGTGATTGAAAATGCTAAAGTTCTCATGACTAGAGTTATTGAATTCACTGGGAAGTGTTAGTGTGGGAGACTATATGGCTACACATGGAAAGGTATCAGTAGCCCTAAATAACTGTTTCTTCACTCTCTGCCCCTTCTCCAGCCACACCCTTTCCTTGCCAAGCCTCAGTCACTGATAATCACTTTCATGGGCCATGTGGGCCGTGATCACAAACTCTGAGGAGTAGTCAACACTCTTCATCAGAAAGAGTTCATCGGGCATTCTCATCCATTTTTCTGCTCTGTACTATCCTGAGCAAAGAAATGAAATACAGGTTTCACCCCTCTCAGGCCTTAGAACCCACAGCTGGAAAAGAACCATGAGAGGTAGTGAATATTTCGTTTGCTGATTTGTTCACTCACTTCTTTAAGTGATACTTTATTAGTTAATTCAAGGCACAAAACTTCAAGAAGAGAGTGTAAATCATTTTCTAAAAACTGACTGATCAAAGTTATATCCGTAAGGCTTAACCCTTGAGTGAATTTTGGATAGTATTATTAAACCATTAGGTAAAAACTAGGGAAGGGAACAAAAGGGAAAACTGGAGAATTAGATTTTAGTCATTTTAATGCATAATTTTTAAAATTTTATGTAAGTTATGCAAGTTGCATGTATTTCATATATACAGATGTAGGAACATAGCGATATACCCACCCTATCCTCCAGATTTTAATCATTTAAGGAAAGTGACTGAGTAGCAGCTAAAACTAGCCACAAGTCAGGTATTCCTCGTAATGATCACTAAATGTTGTATTTGGGGATGTGTGTGTATGTGCAGATTATTTCCTCTCTGAACAGGTACTTCAAGCTCTAGATAAAAGTAACCAGGGCTCTGGAGCAAGTGGTGGCAGAAACAGTGCTGAAGTGTTCGACTTGGCAGGACTCACTATCCTCACAAATGCAAATGACTCCCAACCAAATGGTAATTACTTCTGCTTTCAGTGAAGTAGCATGGATATCCTTTTGTGAAAATAGCACATGTGCACGACTTTTCCTGACCTGTACACGTTCCTCCTTCAAATCCTTGCTGCTTTCACATCACAATTCTTTTTAATATGAAACATTTGTATTGTTTTAAAAGTTTTATTGTGATAGGAACACAACATAAAATCTACACTAAACAAATTTTTAAGTGTACAAACATTGTTATGGATTATAGGTCAATGTTGTATGGCAGATCTCTAAATCTTATTCATCCTACTTAACTGAAATTTTATGCCTTTTGATTAGTCACTCCCAATTTCCACCTTTCCTCTGGTAACAACCATTCCACTCTTAGATTAAATGAATTTTGTCATTCTAGATTTCTTATATAAGTGATATGATGCACTATTTGTCCTTCTGGGACTGGCTTATTCCACTTAGCATAAATGTCTTCAAGGTTCAACCATGTTGTTACATATTGCAGAAGTTTCTTCTTTCATTTTTCATTTTATGTATGTATTTATAGAGGCAGAGAGACAGACAGACAGAACTCTTATCTCTTACTTCTCTTTCAAAATGCCTGAACAGCTAGGGCTGGGCTAGGCCAAACCTAGGAGCCAGGAAGTCAAACTGGGTCTCCCATATGAGTGACAGGCTAGGTATTGGAGCCATCACCTTCTTCCTCCCAGGGTATAAACTAACAGGAATCTAGAACTGGGAGCAGAGCTGGGACTCAAACCCAGGCACTCCAATGTGGTATGTAGGTATTTCAGCCCATGTCTTAACCTCTAGGCCAAATGCCTACCTTGAGCAGTATGCCCCATTCTATGTGTGTGTGTGTGTGTTTATATATGATTTTCTGTATCCATTCATCTGTCAGTTAGCATTAAGGTTGTTTTCTTTGCTTTTGTGGATGAACATAGGACTGCCAGTATTTCGTTAAAATGCTGATTTCAATTCTTTTGGATAAATATCCAGAAGTGAGATTGCTGAATAATGTGGAAGTTATATTTTAATTTTTTGAGAAATCTCTGAATTGTTTTTTTGGTTTTTTCGCATTTATTTTTCCACCCAAAGAACCCTTTTATTTAAGGAATACAGACTTCATGCATTTCATAAGTTCATCTTTAAGAATATAGTGATTCTTCCTACCATACCTGCCCTCCTACCAACTCTCCTACCCCTCTCCTTCCTCTCTCACTCCCAGTCCCATTCTCCACTAAGATACATTTTCAACTAACTTTATACACAGAAGACCAACTCTATACTAAGTAAAGAGTTCAACAATTTGCATGGTAAAAAAAAAAAAAAAAAGGAAAAGAAAAAGATGTTCCTCAACAGTCAAGACAAGGGCTATTCAAAGTCATTGCATCATGAATTCCACTTTTTTTTTTAGAAACTTAATTAACTTTAATGAAGAGCCCAAGAATGACACATCTTTTGGGATCACCTAGACATAGTTATAATACAACTCTTTGAGGACAGAGGTCCTGCATGGTAAGTTAGTGCACAGTGACTCTTGTTGTTAATTTAACAATTAATATTCTTGAAGAATGCCCTAAACAGCATTCTGGCCTCAGAATCAGCCCTTAAGGCATTCAGATCTGGCTAAAAAGCCCATGAGAGCATTTCAGGCATGGAAAGCCAAAACACTGTGGCAAAAATGACCTACATGAAAGATCTCTGTGAGTGAGATCCCAGTGGAAAGAAGGGGCCAAAGAAGAAGGAGGTACCTTTCTTTGAAGGGAGGAGAGAACTTCCACTTTGATTATGGCCTTGTCTAAATAATATTGGAGTTTGTGAACTCAAGAGGCTCCCATAGCCTTGGCAGCTCATGACAAGAGCCTTGGGTGTTCACTGACGTCATAAATAAGAGTGTCAATTGTTAACAATAGGAGTCACTGTGCATTTGTTCCCCATTTAGGACCTCTGTTCTTAATGTGTTGTACTATGAGAATAAATGGTAAAACTAATATTCAAACAGTCCTTTATCTTTGTGTGTCTGTGTGGGTGCAAACTGTTGAAATCTTTACTTATTATAGAGTTGATCTTCTGTACATAAAGATAATTAAAAATGAATCTTAAGAATGGGATAGAAGAAGGAGTAGGAGATGGGATGCTTGGCAGGTGGGAGGTGCTATAAACTAAAAGTTGTACTTATGAAATTTATATTTATTAAATGAAAGCTTTCTATAGAAAAACAATTAACATTCTTATGTATGATGTCAGTGATCGCCCAAAGCTCTTGACATGAGCTGCCTAGGCTATGGAAGCCTTTTAAATCAAGAAACTCTATGAGCATTTAGACAAGGCCATAATCAAAGTAGAAGTTCTCTCCTTTCAGAGAAAAATACCTCCTCCTTTGATGACCACTTCTTTCCACTGGGGTCTTGCCCACCGAGATCCCTCATGTAGGACATTTTTTTATCTCAGTGTCTTAGTTTTCCATGCCTGAAATGCTCTCATGGGCTTTTCAGCCAGAACAGAATGTGTTAAGATTCTGAAGTCGGAGTGCTATTTTTTTTATTTATTATTATTATTATTATTATTGACAGGCAGAGTGGACAGTGAGAGAGAGAGACAGAGAGAAAGGTCTTCCTTTTGCCGCTGGTTCACCCTCCAATGGCTGCCGCGGCCGGCACGCTGCGGCCGGCGCACCGCACTGATCCGATGGCAGGGGCCAGGTACTTATTATCCTGGTCTCCCATGGGGTGCAGGGCCCAAGCACTTGGGCCATCCTCCACTGCACTCCCTGGTCACAGCAGAGAGCTGGCCTGGAAGAGGGGCAACTGGGACAGAATCCGATGCCCCGACCAGGACTAGAACCCGGTGTGCCGGCGCCACAAGGCGGAGGATTAGCCTACTGAGCCGCGGCACCGGCCCAGAGTGCTATTTAAAGCAATTATCATTCTATGAGTCTGCTGTGTGGACTTCTTCCCATGTTGGAGCATTCACTCCTTTTTAATTCTGTATACATTCTTATGGACTTACTTCTAAGGGTGCAATTTACAAACTTCTCATGGGACCCCAAATCCCCTTAAGCTGGGTGGTATTGCATTGAATCTTTAAATTGCTTTTGGTAGTATGAACATTTTGATGATACTGATTCTTCCAATCCATGAACATGGGAGATTTTTCCATTTTTTGTATATTCTTCTGTTTCTTTCTTTAATACTTAGTAATTGTCATTGTAGAGATCTTTGACATCCTTGGTTAAGTTTATTCCAAGGTATTTGATTTTTTTTTTGTAGCTATTGTGAATGGGATTGATCTTAGAAGTTCTTTCTCAGCCATGGCATTGTTTGCGTATACAAAGGCTATTGATTTTTGTGTATTGATTTTATATCCTGTGACTTTACCAAACTCTTCTATAAGTTCAAATAGTCTCTTGGTGGAGTCTTTTGGATCCCCTATATATAGAATCATGTCATCTGCAAACAGGGATAGTTTGAATTCCTCCCTCCCAATTTGTATCCCTTTGATTTCTTTTTCTTGCTTAATGCCTCTGGCAAAAACTTCCATGACTATATTGAATAGCAATGGTGACAGTGGGCATCCCCATCTGGTACTGGATCTCAATGGGAATGCTTCCAACTTTTCCCCATTCAGTATGATGCTGGCTGTGGGTTTGTCATAAACTGCCTTGTGTTGAGAAATGTTCTTTCTATACCCAATTTGATTAGAGTTTTCATCATGAAAGGATGTTGTATTTTATCAAATGCTTTCTATCTATTGAGATAATCATATGGTTTTTGTTCTTTAAAATGTGATCTATCACATTTTAATGTGATCTATCACACTGATTTGCAAATGTTGAACCATTGCTGCATACCAAGGATAAATCCCACTTGGTCCAGGTGAATGATCTTTCTGATGTGTTGTTGGATTTGATTGGTTAGAAATTTGTTGAGGATTTGTATCTATGTCCATCAGGGAAATTGGTCTGTAGTTCTCTTTCTCTGTTGTATCTTTTTCAGGTTTAGAAATTAAGATTATGCTGGCTTAATAGAAAAAATTTGAGAGGATTCCCTCTGTTTTAATTGTTTCAAATAGCTTGAGAAGTAGAGTTAGTTCTTCTGTAAGTGTCTGGTAGAATTCAGCAAAGAAGCCATCTGTCCTGGTCTTTCTTTGTTGGAAGGGTCTTTATTACTGATTAAGTTTCTATCTTGGTTATGGGTCTGTGTAGATTATGTCTTTAGGGCTCAATATAGGTGGGTTGTATGTGTCCAGGAATCTATCTATTTCTTCTGGGTTTCCTGATCTGTTGGCATACAGCTCTTTAGAGTAATTTCTCATTATTCTTTTTATGTCTATGGTATCTTATTACATTTTCTTTTTCATTTCTAATTTTATTAATTTAGGTCTTCTCTCTCCTTTTCTTTTGCTTAGTGGACCAATGGTGGGTCAGTTTTTTTTTTTTTTTTTTCAAAAAACAGCTCTTCATTTTGCTGATCTTTTGTGTTTCTTTTATTGTTTTAATATTGTTGATTTCTTCTCTAATTTTAATTATTTCTTTTTTTCCTACTAGTTTTGGGTTTGGTTTACTGTTGTTTTTCTAGATCCCTAAGATGCATTGATATCTCATTTATTTGGTGCCTTTCCAATTTCTTGATGTAGGCACCAGCTGTTATAAACTTTTCCCTTAAAACTGCTTTTGCTGTATCCCATAAGTTTTGATATGTTGTATTGACATCTTCATTTGTTTCCTGAGATTTTTTGGTTTCACTTTTGATTTCTTCAGTAACCCACTGTTCATTTAGGAGCATGTTGTTCAGTCTCTATGTGTTTGCATATGTTTTAGATATTCTTGAATTGCTGATTTCCAGCTTCATTCCATTGTGATCTGAGAAGATACATGGTATGATTTTGATTTTTTTTTTATTTTGCTGAGACTTGCTTTAAGTTCTAGCATGTGGTTAATCCTAGAATAAGTTCCATGCAGTGCTGAGAAGAATGTGCATTCTGCAACTGTACAATGGAAAGTTCTGTAGATATCTGTTAGGTCTATTTGGTCTATAGTGTAGATTAACTCTGTTTCCTTGCTGATTTTCAGTCTGGTTGATCTATGCATTGCTGAGAGTGGGGTATTGAGGCCTCCTATTACTATTGTATTGGAGTCTATGTCTCCCGTTAGGTCCCTTAAAATTTCTTTTAAATAGCCAGGGGCCCTGTAATTAAGTGCATATACATTTATAATTGTTATATCTTCCTGTTTAATTGATTCCTTAATCATTACATAGTGGCCTTCTTTGTCTCTTTTAACAGTTTTTGTGTTAAAGTTTATTTTGTCTGATATTAGGATGGCTACACCAGCTCCTTCTTGGTTTCTGTTGGCATGGAATATCTTTTTCTATCTTTTCACATGCATGCATCTTATTGGTGAGATGTGTTTCTTGTAGGCAGCAAATAGATGGGTTTTGTTTTTTTTATCCATTCAGCCAGTCTGTCTTTTAACTGAAGAGTTGAGGCCCCTTACATTCAAAGTGACTATTGATAAGTAACAACTTTGCCTGCCATTTTTCCGTATATATTCCTATTTTTTACTTTGGATTTCCTTTGTACTTTTATTGGGCAATTTTCTTCCTTTACCTTCTTTCATAAGGATGACCATCCTTCTGTGTTTCTGTGTGTAGTACATCCTTGAGCACCTTTTGCAAGGTAGATGGGTTGTGGCAAGTTCTTTCAGTTTCTGTTTGTTATGGAATGTCTTTATTTCTCCTTCATTCATAAATGAGAGCTTTGTGGGGTACAGTATTCTAGGTTGATAGGTTTCTTTCCCTTATGACTTAGAATATATCTCACCATTCTCTCCTAACCTGTAGAGTTTCTGATTTGAAGTTGGCTGTGAGTCTAATTGGAGATCTTCTGAAAATAATCCTCCATTTCTCTCGTGCACATTTTAGAATCTTTTCTTTATGTTTTAGTATGGTGAGTTTGATTACAATGTACCATGTTTATTAGGAGTTCTATGTGCTTCCTATACTTGGATGTCCCTTTCATTCTCCAAATTAGGGAAGTTTTCTGTTATTATTTCATTAAAAAACTTTCTAATCCTTTCTCTCTTTCCATGTGTTGAGGAACTTCTAGAACCTGTATGTTGGATTGTTTGATAATGTCCTGTAAATTCCCAACAGTGCTTTTAGTTTTCTAATTTCCTCTTCTTGTTTTTTGTCTGACTGTATAATTTCCTGCGATTTGTCTTCTAATTCAGATATTCTTTCTTCTGCTTCACTGATTCTGTTGTTAGCCATTTTTATATCTTCTTTTGAGAAAAGTCCATTCAGATCCTTAGCCCATTTTTAATAAGGTCATTTGCTTTTTTAAGTTGTAGGAGTTATGTATTTTGGAGATTAACCCATTGTCATATATATAATTTGTAAACATTTGTTTTCATTCTGTATCTTTCCTTTTCACTCTTTTTATTGTTTGCTTTGCTATGTAGAAACTTTTTAGTCTGATGCAAGCCTACTTAATTATTTTGGGATTTTTTTTTTTTTGGCCTAGGCTTTTGCTGTCTTCAAGACCAGTGAAATGGTTTCTTCATTTCCTTCTAGTAGTTGTACAGTTTCAGGTCTTATGCTTAAGTCCATAATCCATTATTTTTTATTTGATAGGCAGGGAGAGAGAGATTGATCTTCCATCTGCTGATTCACTCCCCATATGCCCACAACACCAAGGCTGGTCCAGGCCAAAGCCAGGAATCTGCAGCTCAAGTTCAGATGTACCATGTCAGTGGTAGGGACTCAAGTAATTGAGCTATCATCTGCTTCTCCTCATATGTGCATTAGCAGAAAGCTGGAATCAGAAGTGGAGCCAGGACTCTAACACAGGCACTCTGACATGGGATACTGGGGTCCCAAGTGGCGTCTTCCTACTGTGCTAAATGTCTGCTTCTACTCCATTTTGAGTTGATTTTTGTGTATGGTATTAGATTAGGGGCCAATATCAATCTTTTAAATGTGGATGTCCAGTTCTTCCAATACCAGTTTTTGAATAAACTGTCCTTTTTACATTATATGTTCTTGGCATCTTTGTCAAAAATCAATTGTCTATAAATGCATGGATTTTTGTTTACAATACATTGTTATTGATTATAGATACAATGTTGTACAACAGTTCTACAGCTCAAATAGTGGCATTGGCATCAAGAAATAATCATGTATCTCTTTTTTTAAAAAAGAATTATTTATTTTATTTGAAACGCAGAGTTAGAAAGAGGCAGAGGCAGAGAGATAGAGAGAGAGAGAGAAATCTTCCATCCACTGGTTCACTCCCCAAATGGCTGCAACAGCTGGAGCCGTGCCCCTCTGAAGCCTGGAGCCAGGAGCTTTTACGGGTCTCCCACATGGGTGCAGGGGGTCCAAGGACTTAGGCCATTCTCCACTGCTTTCCCAGGCCATAGCAGAGTGCTGGATCAGAAGTGGAGTAGCTAAGACTTGAACCAGCGCCCATATGGGATGCCAGCACTGCAGATAGCAGCTTTACCCACTAGGCCACAGCGCCGGCCGCCTGTATATCTCTTTAGTAATGGTATATTTCAGATTTCTTATGAGAAATAGAATATGCTCTCTGATAAATGAGCTTGGAATGAATCTGAAAATGCTTTGAGTACTTAGATATTTGAAAGAAGCATTTATTTGAGGGATGTTCTTTTCTTTTCTTTTTTGACAGATGGATTATTGAAGAAAATGCTCAGATCAAGAAGAAATGGGAAAGAGGAAATAGAAAGCCTAGGTGCTCCAACATTTCACTTTTTATTTATGAATTTATATCCCAAGAATATTCTGCATTTTCTCATTTCTAGCAACTTGATATAGATCAGGTGAAAAAAACTGCAGGCGGTTCCAACCTTTACTTTCCACAGGGGTAAAGCATTCTGGGCAAATTAATCCACACTCATTTCGCATGGTCTTAACCTAAAGAAAATAGATATCCTTCATGCCATCTCTATAATTATAGTCATTGGTTATTAATTGTTCATAATTTTACTCTCTATCATAGTAGCTGGTGCAAAAATTAAATGTATAACTTCCATTAAATTCTCCCAAAAGCTAGGTCTGATGAACTAATAGTAGCTAATACTCTTTGAATCTCTACTATATGCTAGGCACTGTGGAAACCCCATATTTAGATTTTATAATTGAATACTTAAACAAATCACATGTAGTAAGTTATTTTATTTTTCTCATATTCCAGATGAGGGTAAGGAGGTAGAAAGCAGTTAAGTAACATGACCAACTCATGGGTAGTAAATGGAATAGGGAAAATTCAAACCCAGACCAGACTGGTAACAGAGACCCCTGTACTGTTGACCACTGTGTTCCACTGGGCACTGCTTGCTCTTTTGTTTGGTGTTTTAATATTTAGGCCGTAGCCCGATTATTTGGAAGATATACCAGAGCAAACTAATTTTGATACACCACTTAAATTTCAGGCACACCAGTGTTAAAATACACGCTGGATTAGAGGTTACAGATGCTGTGCTTTTATAATAATAATGTTAGTAACATCATTTTTAGAAGACATCACATAAAGAACAATGTTTTTAGAATCAGAAGCTAGGCTTGGGTCTTAGCTTGACTATTTATAGTCATGTGACCTTAGCCAGGATTCTTCTTCTGCAAAATGGGGGCAATTTCTGCCCCAAAGAGTTATGAGAATTAACTGGTATCACACCGGTAAATCATTAAGCTCAGGAGGAACTCAATAAATGGTAACATGAACTACTTGAATCTTTTAAAATATCCTCTTGGAAAACCCACACTCTGACCTAGGCTAGATAGAAATTATAATTAGCATTTTACTATGGCAAAATCAGTTTCTGAAAACTGTCACACCAATTTCAAATGACTAGCAGGGGAACAGTCCCCTGTACTGCAGTCCGATAGACTACGTTATGATACTGCCTCTTGCTCTATCACTGGCTCTGCCCCTTAGCAGCTGTGACCACTCCGTATCTGTATTTCCTCATCTTTAAATGACAGAGAGGGTCACTATGAAGTCTGAATACCCTGTCAGTAACTTTTGGAAAAAAAAAATGGGAGAACAATCTAAATAAATGCTCTTGATCTTCCAAATATGCAGTTAAGTTTCATACTGACCACAACTTGACTGTCTTTGTGCAAGGAGGGTCTGGTGAAGAATGACTATATGAGGACTTTGAAACCAATTATATTACATGAAAACAAGGTCTAATTTAAAAAGCTCCAGGGAGTCGGCACAATGGTGCAGCAGATTAAAGCCCTGGCCTGCAGTGCCAGCATCCCATATGGGCGCTTTTTTTTTTTTTTAAAGATTTATTTATTTATTTGAAAATCAGAGTAACACAGAGAGAGAAGGAGAGACAGAGAGAGAGAGGTCTTCCATCCGCTGGTTCACTCCCCAATTGGCTGCAACAGCTGGAGCTGCGCCAATCCATAGGCAGGAGCCAGGAGCTTCTTCCAGGTATCCTATGCAGGTGCAGGGGCCCAACGACTTGGGCCATCTTCTACTGCTTTCCCAGACCAGAGCAGAGAGCTGGATCGGAAGTGGAGCAGCCGGGACTTGAACCAGTGCCCATATGGGATGCTGGCACTGCAGGCGGAGCCTTACCCATTACACCACAGTAGGTGCTGGTTTAAGTCTCAGCAGTTCCACTTCTGATCCAGCTCTCTGCTATGGCCTAGGAAAGCAATAGAAGATGACCCAAGTCCTTGGGCCCCCGCACCTGTATGGGAGACCTGGAAGAAGCTCCTGGCTCCTGGCTTCAGATCAGCTCAGCTCTGGCCATTGTGGTCATTTGGGGAGTGAATCAGTGGATGGGAGACCTCTCTGTCTTTCTCTCTGGCTCTACCTCTCTCTGTAACTCTGTCTTTAAAAAATAAATAAATAAATAAAAAATTAAAAAAAATAAATAAATAAAATATTTTTAAAAAAAGAGCTCTGGGGATGTCTAATGGTGTATCATAGTCAATTCAGGTAGCTGTACAGGGTGGCTTATAAATAACACAAATTTATTTCTTGTAGTTCTTGGGGCTGGAAACTGAGATCAGGGCCCCATGGCTGGTTCTGGTACAGGCCTTCTTCCAGACTGCAGATTCCAGCTACTCTTTGTATCTTTTATGGCAGAAAGAGAATTGTGTGAGAGAACTTTTTGGGGTCCCTTTTATAAGGCACTGTTCTCTTTTATGAGGGGTGTACCTCATTAATTAATAATCTTCCAAATATCTCTCCTTTTTTTAGGATTGATTTATTTATTTGAGAGGCAGAGAGAGAAAAAGAGGAAGAGAGGAAGAGAGAGAGAGAGAGAGAGAGAGAGAGAGAGAGAGAGAGGTCTTCCATCTGCTGGTTCACTTCCCAAATGGCCCCAATGGCCAGAAATGAGTCAATCTGAAGCCAGGAGCCAGGAGCTTCTCTCAGGTCTCTCATGCAGGTACAGGGGCCCAAGGACTTGGGCCACCCTCTACTGCTTTCCCAGGCTGTAGCAGGGAGCTGGACTGGAACTGGAGCAGCTGGAACTTGAACCGGCACCCATATGGGATACTGGTACTGTAGGTGGCAGCTTTACCCACTACACCACAGCACCTGCCCAATCCTCCTTTTTTTTACCATGGCATTTGGTCATATCACTTTTTATGGGACACAAAATTTCATCATATAAATTTTAAAGGAATACTAAATTTCAGGACATATCACAGAGAAAGAATAAGACTTAGCTGGTTGTGATGACTATCTTTATATATTTGAGGAAATCCTGATTGTGTTGGTTTTTTGCACAAGAATAATTACCTCATGTACCAAAAAGAGTACAGGTAATAGGAGCTAGATTTTGGTTTAGAATATGTTAGGAAGAATTTTTCGACAGTTAGGACTCTCTGAAATGGAATAGGCTACTGGCACAGGAAGCAGTTTCCTATTCCAGGAGTTGTTGCAGCTGGGGCTGGCTGACCAATGGTAGTAAATGGAGTGAGGCACAGGGCACCATGGAATAAGATGAACCATTGTTTGTAAGTCGGGCTGGAGACTTTGAATAGGTACTTGGCTAAGAGCATTTGTATTATCTTCTCAGCCTCCCGATTCAAACACCGTGTGATCAAGAAATGCTGTTACGATGGAACTCGACTAAGTGAGGAGAGCTGTGAGGAGAGAGCTATGCGTATTACCATTGGACCAAAGTGTGCCAGAGCTTTCTCTGAGTGCTGTAACCGGTGGAACAGTATGAACCATCACAAGAGTCGGATCTTAGGATTATCAGAACGTATGTGTGAACACTCCTTCTCCATGTGTAATACAGCAGGAGGGTGCCATGTGGAATTTGTGCTGCCATGGGAAAAAGTACTTCAAAATTTGATTTAATGTACAAAGACTGAATTATAAACTCATGTATTTTGGCTAAAAAAATAAAAAAAAAGACAGTGGCAATAATACTAGCTTGGGTACCATTAGTCCCAACATCACCACTAACTCAACTATGTAGTGGTCCTAGGACTTTGTTTATCCTTAAGAGCTAATTTGTTGTATTAGTCTGATTTGCACCACTACAGCAAAATACCTGAGACTGGGTAACTTCATAAAGAAAAGAGGTTTATTTTGGCTCATGACTGCAGGTGCAAGGTTAAGGAACTCTAGCAGATTCGAGAGGCTCTGCAGGGCTTAGTATGACAAGAGACAGGGAGTGCATGCCTGAGTGTCTGTTCTGGTCTTTCTCTTTCTGTGAAGCTGTCGGTAGTAATTCAGTCATGGAGGTTCCACCCTGATGACCTTATCTGATCCTATTCACCTTCCAGACTCCTTACCTCTGAACAGTATCATCATCACACTTAGCTTCCACCCTCCTAACACCTCCTAGTGGGGATTAAACATCAACATGCCTTTCAGGGGATCAAATCATATTCAAACCAGATCATTTGTAAAAGGAAATACCTGGTTAAATGATTCTGTGGTATTCATTTTGTATAGACTTCACTGGCCACACAGCATGCTGCTTCAAATCTTACAAAAGACACTAGGATATGTTCAAGATTCAAAACATTATTCTTATTTTTTTTAAGATTTACTTATTTATTTAAAATCAGAGTTACAGATAGGGAGAGACAGTGAGAGAGATTGATCTTCCATCTGTTGGTTCCTCTCCAGATGGCCACAACAGTTAGGGCTGGGCCAGGCCAAAGCCAGGAGCATCTTCCGTGTCTCCCACATGGGTGGCAGGGTCCCAAGCACATGGGCCATCCTCCACTGCTTTTCCCAGGCCATTACCAAAAGGTTGGATTGGAAGTGGAGCAGCTGGTCTGCTACTGGTGCCCATCAGGGATACCGGTGTCGCAGACAGTGCCTTTTCCCTCTGTGCCAGAATGCTGGCCCCAAAATATTATTCTTGATTTCACCACAAATTATAATTAACAAGTAGTAAAAGGAACCCCATTAAGCATTCATGGAAAATAATTTCTTTTAGTTCAGTTTTCCATGATTTACATGGAAAAGAATGATGAGTACAACTTATTTTGTAATGTTACTGCCCCATTTAACCTGTTATTTTGTTTTATTTTTCAGTCTGTTTAAATGTACTGCTTGGGAGATCATACAAGTTAAAGCAGAGAATAACTAAGAATACTATTGCAATTTTAGATAAATATTGTACTGAAAAAAGTAAAATGACTTATAGAAAATGCCTTTCCATGAATTTGTAAAAGTATATAATAATATCTGGAAAGTACATTATAATATAAAATTTATCTTAAGTCCTTAATAATAATGCTATTGTAGAGAAATCCTCCAATAATTTATGAATATACTTATTTTCATGACCTAAAAATGAAAGCAATTTATCTATAGGTTTTTTTCTTTAAAGATTTATTTTATTTATTTGAAAGAGTTACAGAGAGAGGTAGAGACAGAGAGAGGTGTCTTCCATCTGCTGGTTCACTCCCCAGATGGCCGCAATGGCCGGAGCTGTGCCGATGCAAAGCCAGGAGCCAGGAGATTCCTCCAGGTCTCCCACGTGGGTTCAGGGGCCCAAGGACTTGGGCCATCTTCCACTGCTTTTCCAGGCCATAGCAGGGAGCTGGATTGGAAGAGGAGCAGCCGGGACTAGAACCAGCGCCCATATGGGATGCTGGCGCTTCAGGCCAGGGCTTTAACCCAGTGCGCCACAGTGCCAGCCCCTATCTATAGGTTTTAAAAAGGCCAACAAAAAATTTAGAGGAAAATCAACCAAACATTTAAGAATAAACATTTAGGGGCCAGCCATGTCAGCCAAGGCTGGGCCAGGTCAAAACCAAGAGCCAAGAGCTTCATCCAGTCTCCCACATGGATGCAGGGGACCAGAGACTTGGACCATCTCCTGCTGCCCTCCCAGGAGCATTAGCAGGGAGCTGAATAGTAAGTTGAGCAGCCAGAACTCAAACCAGTGCCCATAAAGGATGCTGGCATCACAGGTGATGGCTTAATCCACTATGCCACAACTCTGGCCCCAACCCATTTTTTAAAATATTGTTTATGATATCAGGAGTGTTTAATAGTTATGTGGTCAAATCTGCATACAGCTTCTGGAGTTGCTTTCATATTAGAAAGACTTTCCTCATCAAGGTTGCACATTATCAGGATACTGCAGTCGGAAGCAGAGCTGGGACTTGAACCCAGGCACTCGTGGATGTGACATGCAGATATCCCAGTCTGTGTCTTAACTGCCAACTCAGATGCCCACCCCAGTTTGAGTTCTCTTTACTTCCTATCAGACTTGCCAAAATTTTCTCTGTTGTATTAATCTTTACTGAGAAACACCTTTTAGTTTTGTTTATTGAACCTATAACTGTGTTCTATTTTATTGCTTTCTCTTTATATAATCCTTCAATCTCTCCCATGTACTTTCTTTAGGTTTTTGGTTGCCCTTTTTCTAACATTTAAATTAACCATTTATTTTCAATACCATATTATCATTCTCTTTGGTTTTCCTGATTTAATTCTCTATAATTTTTATTTTTTATAGCTAAAAGTTAACCATCCTGCTCCAACATAAAAGTCTATGATATATTATTCTATTATAAATTTATGTTTAACGTGTTTTCATTTTTCTATTTTAGCAGCAGTGATGTATTCAGTATCAGTGCCAGTTGTTAGAAGAAATGTTTTAGAAAACTGGTTATGGGAAGTATATCATATCTCTAAAAGGTATTTTAAGACTATTTTCTTTTGAAATTGTTGAAGCATCAAAATATAATAAATATAAGGTCTTTTATTCTTCCAGGGCTTTCTTTGATAATCAACAATATCACTGATAGTTGATCAAGGTTTATTTGTTTAGTTATTGGTTTTTCCTTTGGTACCTGAGTTAACCAAAAATTAAGGCTCTTTGCAGAAGAAAACCATTTCAGTTACCTCAAAAAAATTTTTAAAGGTTTACTTCATTTATTTGAAAGACAAAGAGAGGTCTTCCATCTTCTGGTTCACTCTCCAAATGGCTGCAACAGAGCTGAGCTAGAGCTGAGCTGATCCAAAGGCAAGAGCCAGGAGCTTCGTCTGGGTCTCCCATGTGGGTGCAGGGGCCCAAGGATTTGGATCATCTTCTACTGCTTCTCCAGGAGCTGGATTGGAAGTGGAGCAGCTGGGACTCAAAACCATGTCCATATGGGATGCTGGCACTGCAGGCTGGGGCTTTAACCTGCTGAGCCGCAGTGCCGGCCCCACCTCAAAATTTTACTGAGCATGTAGCTTGGGGTGATATTTAAGCTTTGCTCTTTCACATAATTATTTCACTCTTTCCAGATAGTCTCTTTATAATAAACTCTCTAACAATGTAAATTTTCCATTTTGGCAGATATTTCCAATGCTATATTTCTATATAACACACAAAGGACCCAATATTTTCCCCATACCATAAATACACTTTGTAAAATATTAACTAGCCTTAAAGCTTCAGAAATCATTGTGGTTTTTTTTAAGATTTATTTTATTTATTTGAAAGAGTTACAGAGAGAGAGAGAGAGAGGGGTCTTCTCTTTGCTGGTTCACTCCCGAAATGGCTGCAATGGCCAGGAGCTGAGCCAATCTGAAGCCAGGAGCCAGGAGCTTCTTCCTGGTCTCCCACTTGGGCCAACCACTGCTGTTTTCCCAAGCACATTAGCCAGGAGCTAGATCAGAAGTGGAGCAGCCCATATGGGATGCTGGTGCTGTAGGCCAGTGCTTTAACCTGCTGTGCCACAGCACTGGCCCCTGGCTTGTGTTTAGTTATCACAACTTGCTTGATGTCCAACAACATCTTTTATTCTCCCTGACTGTAGACTTGTTCACGTCTCTACTCCAATTCATTTTCCAGATACAGACGCTCAAGTGCTTATATTAAAGCCCAAGTCAGGCCATGCCACTTGCATACCTAATATTACTTCTCCATGACCTACTCCCCCAAATCTATGTAGATTTATTCACCCTCATCTACTGGTTCTTGCCACAGCTCCTGCTTCGTTAGCAGCAGTTCTTGCTAACGCACCCTATTGTTTGTTCCAATAATAAATACCTTGCTGTCTTCATACCTTTGCTGGAAATCCACTTTATTAGTCCTCTACTTCTGACAAACCCCATTTCACTTATAGCAACCCAATTCAAATTTTGAATTATCCAGAGTGACTCCCCCAAAATACATAGTTTTGCTGCATTCATACTTTAGCTTATACATGCACCTATTGAAACATTTTACTATCCTCTATGTATTTCCTTCCTCTTTTGGAGTAAATTCCTTGAAGGCAGAATCTTTGTTATTTATTCTGATGTTTAGCCTCAAGAATGTATCTTGTATCTGATAGACACGAATCATCCATGGAATAGCTAAATTAACTAATGGATTTCTTGTTTCTGAACATTCCTTTGTTTTTAACCATTTTATATACTTCAGTTTTCTTAGGATTCACTGAATATAATTTAATTTTCATTTGATAATCAAAGTCCTTTAAAGTCCTTATTGTAAAAGTTGGGTAATGAAGACAAAACATGGGAGTATGTATTTTGTTTATTTTTTAGAAAGCTTTTATTTAATGAATATAAATTTTATAGGTACAGCTTTTTGGAAGATAGCAGTTCTTCCCCCCATCCCTGCCCTCCCACCCCCATTCCCATCCCACCTCCTATTCCCTCTCCCATCCCATTCTTCATTAAGATCCATTTTTAATTATCTTTATATACAGAAGATCAACACTATAATAAGTAAAGATTTCAACAGTTTGCACCCATACAGACACACAAAGTATAAGTACTGTTTGAATACAAGTTTTACTATTAATTCTCATAGTACAACTCATTAAGGACAGAGGTCCTACATGGGGAGCAAATGCACAGTGACTCCTGTTATTGATTAAACAACTGACGCTCTTTTTTTTATGATGTTGGTGAGCACCCGAGGCTCTTGCCATGAGCTACCAAGACTATGGAAGCCTCTTGAGTCCACAAACTCCGAAATTATTTAGACAAGGCCATAATCAAAGTGGAAGTTCTCTCCTCCCTTCAGAGAAAGGTACCTCCTTTTTCTTTGGCCCCTGCCTCCCACCTGGATCTCATTCACAGAAATCTTTCATTTAGGGCATTTTTTGCCACAGTGTCTTGGCTTTCCATACCTGAAATGCTCTCATGGGCTGATTTTGAGGCCAGAGTATATTTAGGACATTTGTCATTATATGAGTCTATTGTGTGTCATGCTTCCCGTGTTGGATCATTTTCTTCTTTTTAATTCTATTGTTATTAGCAGACACTTGGTCTTATTTATGTGATCCCTTTGATACTTATTCCTATCTTTATGATCATTTATGCACTTAAAGTGATCACTTTAACTAGCATAATGGCATTAGTACCTGACAACTTAATGGGATTTGAAGTCTCATGTCAAGTTTTTAGCTTTACCCTTAGGTGTAAGTCTGTGGGAACATGTACCAAACTGTACATCTCCTCCCACCCTTATTCCCACTCTTACGTTTTACAGGTATCAATTTTCATTTGGATGTAAACACCTAAGAATAATTCTATGTTAAGTAAAGAGTTCAACGTAAGTAGAAAAAAAAAACACTAAAAAGAATAAAATAGTAAACTGTTCCTCAACAGGACAAGGGCTGATCAAGTCACTGCTTCTCATAGTGCCAGTTTTGCTTCTTTAGGTTTCCTTTTAGGTGCTCAGTTAGTTATCACTGATTAGGGAGAAAATACGATATTTGTCCCTTTGGGAGTGGCTTATTTCACTCAGTATGATGTTTTCCAGATTCCTCCATTTTGTTGCAAATGACTGGATTTCCTTTTTTTTACTGCTGTATTGTATTCCATAGAATACATATCCCATAATTTTTTAATCCAGTCATCTGTTAACAGGCATTTAGGTCAATTCCATGTCTTAGTTATTGTGAATTGAGCTAAAATATACATGGAGGTTCAGATAGCTCTTTTATTTGCCAATTTAATTTCCCTTGGGTCTATTCCAAGGCATGAGATGGCTGGGTCGTATGGTAGGGCTATATTCAGATTTCTGAGGTATCTTCAAACTGTCTTCCATAGTAGCTTTACCAGTTCGCATCCCCACCAACAGTGGATAAGTTTACCCTTTTCCCCACATCCTTGCCAGCATTTGTTGTTTGTTGATTTCTGTATGAAAGCCATTCTAACTGGGGTGAGGTGAAACTTCACTGTGGTTTTGATTTGCATTTGACTGACAGCTAGTGATCCTGAACATTTTTTTCATGTATCTGTTGACCATTTGGATTTCCTCTTTTGAAAAATGTCTATTTAGGTCCTTGGCCCATCTCTTAAGTGGGTTCTTTGTTTTGTTGTTGTGGAGTTCCTTGACCTCTTTGTAGATTCTGGTTATTAATCCTTTATCGGTTGCCTAGTTTGCAAATAATTTCTCCCATTCTGTTGGTTGCTCTTCACTTTCCTGTCACTTTGCCATACGGAAACTTCTAAATTTGATTTAATCCCAGTTGTTAATTTTGGATATGGCTGCCTGTGCTTCTGGGGTCTTTTCCAAGAAGTCTTTGCCTATGCCAACATCTTGCAGGGTTTCTCTAATGTTCTCTAATAATTTGATAGTGTTGGGTTTAGATTTAGATCTTTAATCCATGTTGAGTGGATTTTTGTGTAAGGTGTAAGGTAGAGGTCTTGCCTCATACTTCTGCATGTGGAGATTTAGTTTTCCTAGCACTGCTTGTTGAATCTGCTGTCATTGCTCCAGGAATTAGTTTTATCTCCCTAATCAAATAAAAGTTGGATCTAGATGTTTGGATTGATTTCTGGTGTTTCTTTTCTGTTCCATTGGTCTATCCATCTGTTTTTGTACCAGTACCAGGTTGTTTTGGTTATAACAGCCCTGTAGTATGTCTTGAAATCTGATATTGTGATGCCTCTGGCTTTGTTTTATTGTGTAAGATTGCTTTAGCTATTCAAGGTCTCCTGTGTCTCCATATGAATTTCAGTATCATTTTTTCTAGATCTGAGAAGAATATCTTTGGGATTTTGATTGGCATTGAACCTGTAAATTGCTTTTGGAAGAATGGACATTTTGATGATATTGATTCTGCCAATCCATGAACATGGAAGATTATTCTGTTATTTTTTATCTTCTATTTTTTTTAACTTTTATTTAGTAAATATAAATTTCCAAAGTACAGTTTATGGATTACAATGCCCCCCCCCCATAACTTCCCTCCCACTCGCACCCCTCCCATCTCCCGCTCCCTCTCCCATTCCATTCACATCAAGATTCATTTTCAATTATCTTTATATACAGAAGATCAATTAACTATATATTAAGTAAAGATTTCATCAGTTTGCACCCACACAGAACATAAAGTGTAAAATACTGTTTCAGTACTAGTTATAGCATTACTTCACATTGGACAACACATTAAGGACAGAGATCCCATATGAGGAGTAAGTACACAGTGACTCCTGTTGTTGACTTAACAATTTGACACTCTTGTTTATGGCGTGAATAATCTCCATAGGCTCTAGTCATGAGTTGCCAAGGCTATGGAAGCCTTTTGAGTTCGCCAACTTCGATCATATTCAGACAAGGTCATAGTCAAAGTGGAATTTCTCTCCTCCCTTCAGAGAAAGGTACCTCCTTCTTTGATGGCCCTGTTCTTTCTACTGGGATCTCACTCTCAGAGATCTTTCATTTAGGTCTTCTTTTTTATCTTCTATTTATTTCTTTAATGTTTTGTAATTCTCATCATAGAGATCTTTGACATCTTGATTAAGTTTATTCCAAAGTATTTGATTTTAGAAGTTCTTTCTCACTTGTGGCATTGTCTATGTATACAATGGTTGTTGATTTTTGTGCATTGATTTTATATCCTGCTACTTTACCAAACTCTTCTATGAGTTCCAGTAGTCTTTTAGTGGAGTTCTTTGGATCCCCTAAATAAAGAATCATGTCATCTGCAAATAGGGATAATTTGATTTATTTTCTTGCCTAATGGCTCTGGCTAAAATTTCTAGGACTATATTGAATAGCAATACTGACAGTGGGCATCCTTGTCTTGTACCGGACCTCAGTGGAAATGCTTCCAACTTTTCCCTATTCAATATGATGCTGGCTGTGGGTTTGTCATAAATTGCCTTGATTTGTTGAGGAATGTTCTTTCTTTCTTTTGTCGCTCCTCCGCGGGCTTGCGGGAGAATGACACCGAACCGGACACTGTTGTTTAAGCAAATGACTCTGCGTTGTGCGCTCAAGTTTGCTCCTGTGCTAACCGCATTCTAACCACATTCCACTTGGTGTGTATCCGCATTCTTGTTATTCTTTAGGCGCGTGGTGTGAGATGTCTGCGGCGCCTCGTGGCACATAAGGTAATCCCCCTGTGCCACTTCTATCTCGCCTTTATAGTCCTCTCCCACCAATCCGTGCTCTGCTGCCCACGTGCTGAGCACGCTGTTCTCCAATCACAGGTTGGATCAAGAATCCGCTAATTAACAAAGCAGCTGTGTAAGATTTGTTTACTCCCTCTCAGCGCCATATGGTGGGAGATCAGGTGCAGAGAGTTAGTCTCAATAGTCTCAGTAGTCTAGTCTCGTCTTATTTTGCCATGTTGCGGGAGATGGGCCCTGCTCCCCACAGGGCCCTGCTCCCCAAATCTATCTATCTTTCTTTCTTTCTTTCTTTCTTTCTTTCTTTCTTTCTTTCTTTCTTTCTTTCTTTCTTTCTTTCTTTCTTTCTTTTTTTACAGGCAGAGTGGACAGTGAGAGAGAGAGACAGAGAGAAAGGTCTTCCTTTTGCCATTGGTTCACCCTCCAATGGCCGCCAAGGCCAGCGTGCTGCGGCCGGCACACTGCACTGATCTGATGGCAGGAGCCAGGTGCTTATCCTGGTCTCCCATGGGGTGCAGGGCCCAAGCACTTGGGCCATCCTCCACTGCACTCCCTGGCCACAGCAGAGAGCTGGCCTGGAAGAGGGGCAACCGGTGCAGAATCCGGTGCCCCAACCAGGACAAGAACCCGGTGTGCCGGCGCTGCAAGGTGGAGGATTAGCCTGTTGAACCACAGCGCCGGCCAGGAGGTCTTTATTTCACCTTCATTCACAAAAGAGAGCTTTGCAAGGTATAATATTCTGGGATGACAGTTTTTTTCTCTTATGTCTTGGGCTATATCTCACCATTCTCTCCTAGCCTGTAGGGCTTCTGATGAGAAGTCTGCTGTGAGTGTAATTGGAGGTCCTCTAAAAGTAGTCTGGTGTTCCTTTTGTACACATTTTGAATCTTCTCTTTATGTTTCATTGTGGTGAGTTTGACTACAATGTGTCATGATGAGGATCTTTTCTGGTCATGTCTATTTTGAGTTCTGTTTGCTTCCTGTACTTGGATGGCTCTTCCTTTCTCCCAACCTGGGAAGTTTTCTGCTATTTTTCACTGAAAAAGGCCTTCTAATCCTTTCTTTCTCTCCATGCTTTCAGGAACTCCTAGAACCGATATGATAGGTATTTTTTTTTTTATAGTATCCTGTAGATTCCCAACAGTGTTTTTTAATTTTCTAATTTCCTCTTCTTGTCTTTGGTTTGACTGTATACTTTCCTGTGTTTTGTCTTCTAAGTCCGATATTCTCTCTTCTGCTTCACCAATTCTGTTTTTAAGGCTCTCCACTGCATTTTTTATTTGTTTTATTGATTTCTTCATTTCTATTTCTCTTTAAGATCTCAATTTCATGTTCTATTGAATTTTTCATTTCATTTTGGTTCTTCTTTAAGATCTCAATTTCATGGGAGAAATTTTCTTTCATATACTGCATGGATTTCAGTAGTTTGTGCATTGCTTTTGATTACTTCTATGTCATCTTATGATCAATTTTTTGGGTTCCATTTCTTGCATTTCTTCTATCTCCTCATTTTCACAATCTAGTATTGAAGTGTCATGTTCTTTTGTGGGCGTCATGTTGTCTTCCTTATTCTTGTTTCCTGGATTGCTGTGTTTGTTGTTCGGCATTTGTGGAGATAACTCTCCTTCCTTCTCCTCCTCCTCCTCCTCCTCCTCTCCCTCCTCCTCCTCCTCCTCCTCCTTATCCTTCTTCTTCTTTACTTTTTTTTTTTTTTTTTTTTTGCTGTGGTGGCTTTTATCATTGTACTGTGACTCTGTAGATAAGTGGAATATCTGCTTTCAGTGAATCTCTAGAGGCTTGTAGTGGGTGTGGCCAGAAGCTCTGTTCAGTTCTCCAGGGTTAAGGGAATGCCTAAGGTGACACACCCAGGTTTGGCATGGCAAATCAATCTCTGTTAATCAGAAGGGAGGTATATTCTTCTCAGCTGAGCTCTCTTCAATGGAGACCAGAGCCTGAGTGCTAGCCCCAGTGTGTATAATATTTGTCCTTTCTGTCCCAAGGACCACACAAAGGATCTGTGCAGTCCCCAGTGTAAGTTCAGATTCCCCAGCAGTGTCTCTCACCAGGTAACTAGGAACCCCCACGTGTGTGGAATCTCCCACTGAGACTGCCCAAAGTCCCAGCCACACCATGAGTCCTCCCACACACCCTCAAATTTTTTCACAGTCCCAGTTCAGAAGCTTTACACAGTCGTAAGCTCCTAGCCCTCTGTTAGTTCTCCCCACCAGAGTCAGGAATCTCCACTCATCTGATTGCTGGGCGCAGACACAAGCTGTATGCCTTTGTAAAGTGAACATAATCCAAGTCTTCCATATGGGTGGCAGGAACCCAACTACTTGAACCATCACCTCTGCCCCTCAGGGAACCTGGAGTCAGAAGTCCACCTGGTATTGAATGCAGGCACTCTGGTGCAGGATGCAGGCATCCCAATCAGCAGCTTAAATGCTAGGTCAATGCCCACATCCACCCTCTGACCTTTCATCTTTTCTTAAACTCATCTCCACTCATGGCCAGTGATTTAAGCTTGTTTCTTTGTGATTTGCCTTAAGAGACCATATTAGAAAAGCACAAATATTCTGATTAATAGAGCATGATAAGTTGATTCAAGTTAATCAAGGTTCACCTGCATTCAATGACTATGAAACATTTTATCTTCTAGGCATCAGCTAAAATTGGTGCTACCTGATTTACGAACTACCTGGGAAATTCAAGGTGTTGGCATTACAAATAAAGGTAAGTAGCTGATGTGCTATATGATGTTGAAATAAGGAGTAGTATATTCATTTTAATCTATTTTTATTTTATTGACATTTCAACCAGGACTTTGGTATTAGCATATTTTATGCTCTCATAATCTTGGATGAAAAAAAAACTATGTCTTTGACCATATTTTGACCGTGTAATATATTTATAAGCCATCAGTTTGTGAGCAATAATTTCAGGGTTCCATTTCCCTAAAACCTTTCTGATTTGCTGGGGTTTAACAATGGAATGCATTCCTGAGTTCTCTCCCAAATTATAGGTCACATTGCAAATCAATACCACTTATAAATAATTTTTAAAAATATTTATTTTATTGCTCACAAACTTAATATTTTAACCTGCCTAGTAAGTTCTATAATAATTAATGACCTTTCTGTTATGATGAAAAATAGCATTAGGGCAGGCTGCTAAAAACCAATGCAACTTTCTAACCACTGCATCATCAACAATAACTACCACCACCAAAGAATAACAATCCTGATAAAGTTACAATGATACTAAATTCTAAAAGCACAATAATTTACCTAAAAAATAGAAGTTGAAGGTAGCTTGACATAAGGAGGTGTGAGGAAGGCTGAGGCTGCTGAATTATGGACATAACTAAATGCAAAAGATCTGGGAGGCTGATGACCAAAGTGAGCCAAGAAAGTGTAGGGAGAATGAGCCTCTTGTTGTAGGACTCCACTTCTCATTTCTGGCAGCATTCCACTAGGTAGTAGTCTTTGTGTTCAGCTGCTATTAGATAGTGGTAAAAATATTAATATGCTAGAAAAATGCATATGAATCAATGTAATACATTCCTTTCATTTCCCAAGTACCATTCATTATGAATTAATTAACATTCAGGCATATACCTATAGCAGAACAGACTGAATCTAGAAAAGTTGTTGGTATATAATTAATATTTTTACTTTTGTACCTTAAAGGAAATTACTCTAGAACTAGCAGAAACTATTCCACTTCTACTTTATTTAAAAAGTTCATGAGATACTGGGGGAAATATAACTACCAGCTGAATATTTGATGATACTAAGAAATTACTATTGACTTTTTGGGGTGTGATAATAGCATTGAAGTTATGTTTAAAAAGGCAAGTTGTTTCTTTGATATATATACACATATATATGATATATATGTATACACACATATATGATATATATACATATATATGATATCATATATATGTGTGTATATATGTACATACATATATATATATATGATATACATGGCTGGAGCTGGGCCAATCTAAAGCCAGGATCAAGAACTTCTTCCAAGTCTCCCATATGGATGCAGGGGCCCAAGTATTTGGGTCATCTACAGCTGCTTTCCCAGGCACATTAAGAGTGATCTGGACTGGAAGTGGAGCAGCTAGGACTTGAACCAGTACCCATAAAGGATGCCTTTGTTGCACATGGTGGCTTTAGCCTATAGCACATGTAACTTTAGCCACAATGCCAGCCCCTGTTTCCTACTCTTAAAAAAATCTTTGGGACCAGTGCTATCATGTAGTGGATAAAGCCACTGTCTACAGTGTTACATGGGTACTGGTTTCTGTTCTGGCTGTTCTATTTCCAATCCAGCTCCCTGCTAATGCGCTGGGGAAAGCAGCAGAGGTTGGCCCAAGTTCTTGGATTCCTGCACCCATGTGGGAGACCTCGAAGAAGCTACTGGCTCATTGCTTCAATCTGGCTCAGCTCCAGCCATTGCAGCCATTTGAAGAGTAAACTAGCAGATGGAAGATAGATCGATGGATCGATCTCTCTTTCTCTTTCTGTCTGTAACTACCTCTCAAATAAATCAGTAATTTTTTTTAAGATTTTATTTATTTATTTGAGAGGTAGAGTTACAGACAGTGAGAGAGAGACACAGAAAGGTCTTCCATCCATTGACTCACTCCCCAAATGGCTGCAACGACCAGAGCTGAGCCAATCCAAAGCCAGGAGCCTGGAGCTTCTTCCAGGTCTCCCATGTGGGTGCAGTGGCACAGTGCTTGGGCCATCTTCCATTGCTTTTCTAGGCCACAGCAGAGAGCTGGATTGGAAGTGGAGAAGCCAGGACTAGAACTGGTGCCCATGTGGGATGCCAGTGTTACAGGCAGAGAATTAACCTACTGGGCCACAGCACCAGCCCCAATAATTTTTTTTTAAAGAGTAGGAAACAGAAGTCAGAAGGAGTCTAATCAGGACTATAAAGTGGATACCCAATGATTTTTTTATTGAAACACTCACAAAATTGTGCTTGTTTAATGAGGAATGAATAGGAACATTGTCATGTTGGAGAAGGACTCTCTAGTGAAGTTTCTTCAGTGCTTTTCTAGTAAAGCTTTGGCTAGCTTTCTCAAAACCCTGTCATAATAAGCAGATGGCATTGTTCTTTAGCCACCCAGAAAGTCAATAAGCAAAATGCCTTGAGAATCCTACAGAATCTGTTGCTATGACCTTTGCTCTTGACTGATCCACTTTTGCCTTGACTAAACCATTTTCACCTCTTGGTAGCCATTGCTTTGATTGTGCTTTGTCTTCAAGATCATACCAGTAAAGTCATGTTTCATCCCTAATTATAATGTTTCAAATAAATTCTTGAGGATCTTTATTCTACTTATTTAAAATCTCCATTGAATGTTCTGCTCTTGTCTGAAAGTAATTTGAGCATGGCAATTTATGCATCCATCAAGCAATAAGTTACTCAATTTTAATTTTTCAATCAGAATGTATAAGCTGAACCAATTGAGGTGTCTATGGTACTGACTATAACTTCTGCTGAGAATCATAGGACCTCTTTAATTAGGGCATGAACAAGATTAATTTTTTCCTCAAAAATTAATGTGATTGGTCTGCCACTGAAGGCTTCATTTTCAAAACTGTCTCATACCTTCTTAAAATGAATTATCCACTGGCAAACTGCTGATTTCTTTGGGACATTTTCCACATAAACTTTTTGTAATGATTTTACTATTCTTCCACCCTAGTTTCACCAAATAAATTAGATGTTTGTTCTTGTTTCAATTTTTAGTAGAATTTACGTTGTTCCAATAGGGACTCTTTTCAAACTGATGCCCAATCCTTATTAGTGCTTCAAGTTAGATGCTGTTCAGTCATGTTATAATGAATTAGTATAAATTTCTTTTGGTGCAAAAATTTTCTTTTCATTATATCTATTTTCCACTAGCTATTTTAAGATTCTCTTATAGAAGTTCCACGAAGGCAGAGATTTTTGTCTTTGTTGTTTACTGTTTTTTTTAAGATTTATTTATTTGAAAGAGTTACAGAGAGAGGTAGAGACAGAGAGAGGTGTCTTCCGTCTGCTGGTTCACTCCCCAGATGGCCGCAATGGCCGGAGCTGCACCGATCCGAAGCCAGGAGCCAGGAGCTTCCTCTGGGTCTCCCATGTAGGCGCAGGGGCCCAACGACTTGGGCCATCTTCTACTGCTTTCCCAGGCATAGCAGAGAGCTGGATCGGAAGTGGAGCAGCCGGGACTAGAACTGGCACCCATATGGGATGTCGGCACTTCAGGCCAGGGCATTAATCTGCTGCACTACAGCACCAGCCCATCTTGTTCACTGTTGTATTTATATTTAGCTGGAACAGCGGCTAGTCCAGCACAAACTCTTCAAATGTTAATTAAAGGATAAGTGTTGATGCCATAGGTTAAGCTGCCAATTGGGATGCCTACATCACATACCAAGGTGCCAATTTGAAGCCTGTCTCCTCTGCTGCCAATCTAATGCTTCCTGTTAATTCGTCTGGGAGGCAGCAGATCATGGCTCAAATGCTTGGACCCCTGCCACCAACATAGAAGACCCAGATGGAGTTCCAGGTTCCAAGTTTCAGCTTGGCCTAGCCCTGTCTGTTGTGGGCATTTGGAGAGTAAAACAATGAATAGAAGATCCTCTCTGTCTCTGTCTCTGTCTCTGTCTCTCTCTCTCCCTCCCTCCCTCCCTCCTTCCCTCCCTCTCTCCCTTCCTCCCTCTCTCCCTCCTTCCCTCCCTGTCTCTCTTTCTCCCTCCCCACCCCACTGTGTGTGTATCACTCTGCCTTTCAAGTAAGTGAAAACAAAGAAATATTTTAAAATCTTAATTGCTTAGGGAAATAAGGGTCACTAAATAAAGCTTCCAAGAACTAGAGAGAAATGTAGAGGAGAAAAGCATAGTATATGATTTTCTTCCTTTCCACATATAAAGAAAAATAGAAGAATTTGAAAGAATACTCAGAATCTGCTCGCATGCTGACGTGTGCTGTTACCCCTATAGGTCTGTGTATTGCTGATATGCTGCGGTTGCAAGTATATGAAGACCATTTCCCAACCATAAATGACAATGCTACAAGACTTAATATAAAGGCACAGTATCCAACACCAAAATTCTAGGAATGTAAGTAAGTAGGTAAATGCATGACACAAATATCAATGGCTAAGAAAGATAAGATCACTTCACTTAGTGTACAAGACATCTAAGTGGGAAGGAGGTTGTGTGAGAGACAGGGAAGAGGTGCAAGACTCTCTCCGAAATCTTAACATATTGTAAGGGAAGCTAAATGATGCGTTAGGTGAAGACAAGGTTGACAATGATGGGAGGTTTCCCTAAGTAAATCTATAGAAACAGAAAGTACATTGGTTGTTGCTAGGCGTTGGGGAGAAAAGGATTAGGAAGAAACTGTATAATGGGGTAAGAAGTGACTGCTGAAGCCATAAAAGCTGAAGAATAATTATGACCCCAAACATTGTTATCAATACATAAATATCATCTTTGCTACAACTGAGGATCAGTTTGTAATAGAAAGCTCTGCTTGACAAGACCAGGCCTGACACCCTGACTGCTATCTGCTGACCTCTGCCACCTGCCCTAATCTTGACAACCTGACTGATGACCACCTATGGCCAGAAAAAGGTGTTTTTGGTTGAGTACATACTAGTAGAAAAAATGGCTTTAAAAAATAAAATTACAATCTTAAAATGAAATATTTTAATATACTTTTTGTGAATTCTACCTTCTATTAAAAGAGAATATTCTGGGCCAGCGCCGCAGCTCAATAGGCTAATCCTCTGCCTGCCAGCGCCGGCACACCGGGTTCTAGTCCTGGTCGGGGCTCTGGATTCTGTCCCGGTTGCCCCTCTTCCAGGCCAGCTCTCTGCTGTGGCCCGGGAGTACAGTGGAGGATGGCCCAAGTGCTTGGGCCCTGCACCCCATGGGAGACCAGGAGAAGCACCTGGCTCCCGCCTTCGGATCAGCGCAGTGCACCGGCTGCAGCGCGCCGGCTGCAGCGGCCATTGGAGGGTGAACCAACGGCAAAGGAAGACCTTTCTGTCTCTCTTTCTCACTTTCTCACTGTCCACTCTGCCTAAAAAAAAAAAGAGAGAGAGAGAGAGAATATTCTGTATTGCTACCTTGCCCCTACCCCCCCAATAAAACCTTTAATAGTTCTGCTAGAGCTCAATATAATGTTTCTTTTTTAAAAGATTTATTTATTTATTTGAAAGCCAGACTTACAGAGAGAGGGGGGATGTATATAGAGAGAGGTTTTGTATCCACTGGTTCACTCCCCAGATGGCTACAATGACCTGAGTTGCGTTGATCCGAAGCCAAGAGCCAGGAGCTTCTTCCGAGTTTCCCACAGGGGTGCAGGGACCATCTTCTACTGCTTTCCCAAGCTATAGTAGAGAGCTGAATTGAAATTGGAACAGCTGGGACTTGAACTGGTATCCATATGGGATGCCAGCACTGCAGGCGGTGGCTTTACATGCTACATTACAGCACCAGACTTTCAGTATACTGTTTTCTAATAATTTGTTTATCAGTAGTCATGGATGTCAAATTCAAAAGAAGAAAACACTCTGTTGGACATTTTTTAAAAGATTTATTTATTTATTTATTTGAAAGGCAGAGATAGAGACAGACAGACAGACGGAGAAACAGGGAGAGAGAGGTCTTTCATCTACTCATTCACTCCCCAAATGGCTGCAATGGCTAGAGCTGGTGTCATAGGAGGTAGCTTACCCCACTGGGTCACAACACTGGCCCTGTTTTTTTCTTTTTAATTATTTATTTATTTGAGAGGTAGATTTACAGAGAGAAGAGAGAGCGAAATGTCTTCAATCTGCTGGTTCACTCCCCAAATGACCACAACAGCTGGAGATGAGCCAATCTGAAGCCAGGAGCCAGGAGTTTCTTCCAGGTCTCCCGCATGGGTGCAGGGGCCCAAGCACTTGGGCTGTCTTCCACTGCTTTCCCAGGCCATCAGCAGGGAGCTGGATCAAAAGTAGAGTATCCAGAACTCAAACCAGCACCTATATGGGATTCCAACCAGTGCTGCAGATCAAGGCTTAATCTGCTAGCCACAGCACTGGCCCATATGTTGGATAATTTTTAACTAACCCAGCATTTATCCTTTCTTTCCTTCTTATCATCAAAATCTGAATTTAACTGGCCATATACTGTCTTGTTTCCCTTGAATTTGAGCAGAGCTTTGTCGCTCCCCCTCTTCGTGGAGGAACGACACAGGACCCTGTGCTGTTCTTTCGTCTGCTCGGCCCTCCCCGGGTTCGTCTGCTCGGCCCTCCCCGGGTTTGCTGCTGGTTCTTCCCGGGTTGGCTGCTGGTCCTTCCCGGGTTGGCTGCTGGTCCTTCCCGGGTTGGCTACCGTCCCTTCCACCTCCGTGGAAGGGCGGTTCCCCCTGCCACATTCCCCACTTCCGCAGGGGAGCGGCACACCGCCGGCCGGCTCTCTCGGGGGCTGCACAGGTGTTCCCCTTAGATGTTCCTCTTAGATGTTCCTGGTGCATGCCGTCTCTCTCCTCCCTTATAGTCCTTCCACCAATCCCAACTCTGCTACCCACACACCGAGCACGCTGCTCTCCTCCAATCAGGAGCAGGTCCTACAGTTTATCGGTTGAACTGGAGGCTGCGCAGAAGCTGCCTCTCCCTTCTCAGCGCCATATTGTGGGAGAGCAGATGCATAGAACAAGTCTTAATTCCAGTAACTTAGTCCAGTCCGGGTTGCTCCCCACAGAGCTTAGTCTCAAGTTCCCTAAGGAAAAGCAATTAGTGTGGGATTTCCAGCAAGGCTACTCAACAAGAATTGCTTCAACAAGGAATGTCCGTTTTTTGCCCTCTTTTTGCAGCCCTTGACTTGGTCCATGAAGTAACACTGAAGATGGAAATTAAGTGCTGGAATAGTGCAACAAAAGGTTTATAGCCCTGCCTCTGATGATATGTGGAATTACAATTCTAGCCGTTGATCTCTCACCTTTAGGTTTCTTTCAAGTGAGAAGGAAATAAATGTTTGTCTCATTAAAGCTAGTTATTTTGATTGTCTATTATATAAGTGGAATTTGATTCTAATTCATATAGACTCATTCTAAATACTGTTGGTTCTAGCAAATAAAATATATGAGCAGGAGTTTATCAGAGGAATATGGTTTGTATTCTTTTTTTTGTTTTTAAAGTAATGAGGAAGGTTTTTTAAAGATTTATTTATTTATTTATTTGAAAGAGTTACAGAGAGAGAGGGAGAGAGAGAACATTTAAGAGAGGGAGAGGGGGGGAGAGACAGAGATTTTTCATCCACTGGTTCACTCCCCAGATGGCTGCAACAGCCAGGACTGAACCAAACTGAAACCAGGAACCAGGAATTCCATCCAGGTCTCTGTTATGGGTGGCAGGATCTCAAGCACTTAGACCGTCTTCTGCTGTTTTCCCAGGAACATTAGTAGGCAGCTAGATTGAAAGTGGAGCAGGCAAGACTCAAACCAGCAGCGATTTAACCCAGTGTGCTACATAGGACACTGGCCCCTGGTTTGCTACTCTCAATCCCAGATTTATTTCATCTTTCCAACTCTAACTTCTGTCCTGCTTTCTTCACGTTCCTATATCAAATATTATATTGTATCATATTCATTTTCTTTAATTGCACAATCAATGTCCCAGTCTATAATTTTAAGAAGTTTAGTCTCTATATAGATTATACATACTTTCTTCCCCATTGGCATGTTTTCTCCCATTCAGGAAATAGGCCAATCTGCAGAATACCAAACCACAGAAATCCAGGTCTCAAAAGATCTAGTTTACCTGAGGATCAATGCTATTGAATGTCGCCCTCACAGATTTCAAATTTATGAACTGGAATGTAGATCAGCTTTACCAAGAAGTTTGGGTTTTTTTGTTTTTTTGACAGGCAGAGTTAGAGAGACAGAAAGAGAGAAAGGTCTTCCTTCCGTTGGTTCACCCCACAAATGGCCACTACAGCCAGCGCACTGTGCCGATCCGAAGCCAGGAGCCAGGTGCTTCCTCCTGGTCTCCCATGTGGGTGCAGAGCCCAAACACTTGGGCCATCATCCTCCACTGCCTTCCCGGGTCACAGCAGAGAGCTGGACTGGAAGAGGAGCAACCGGGACAGAATCCGGCACCCCAACGGAGGGTTAGCCAAGTGAGCCATGGCGCCGGCCACCAAGAAGCTTTTTGATATCTTTGACAGGAATGTTCCTATGGAGATTTTTCAGTTTATATTGATTTATACTCGGATTATTTTAGTTAATTGATTTCTTTTAGATGCTTTTAGAATTAAAATAAACATTAAGCTTTTACATATTTTAAATCTAAATTTGAAAATTGAAAGAAGTTTAACTCTGTTAAAAATTTAATTGACATTGAGATCTTTAAATTTACGTTTTACAAATATGATGCTTCTTATGGGGCTGTTAAAAAATTCTTTTGAGGGGCCAGCATTGTGATATAGCAGGTAAAGCTGCCACCTGCAACACTGGCATCCCATAGAGGTACCAGTTCAAGTCCTGGATGCTCTACTTCTGATCCAGCTCCCTGCTAATGGACTTGGAAAAGCAGTAGAAGATGGTCCGAGTGCTTGGGCCCCTGCCAGCCACATGGCAGACCCAGAGGGTGCTCTTGTCTCCTAGCTTTGGCCTGCCCCAGCTCCTACCGTTGCAGCTATCTGGAGAGTGAATCACCGGATGGAAGATGTGTGTGTGTGTGTGTGTGTGTGTGTGTGTGTGTGTCTCCCTCTCTCTTTGTACTCTTTTAAATAAATAAATAGATCTTTAAAAAAAAACACTTTTTTTGAGTTGGAGGTTGTGACACAGCAGATTAAGCTGTCACTAGGGACATCTGCATCCCATATTGGAGTGCCAAGTTCAAGTCCTGACCACTCTGCTTCCAAGCCAGCTTTCTACTAATGCACCTGGGAGGCAACAGATGATGACTCAGAAGGAATTCCTGGCTCCTAGCTTCAGCCATGCCCAGCCCTGACTATTGTGGGCATTTGGGGAGTGGACTAGTGGATGGAGGATCTCTCTCTTTATCTCTCTGCCTCTTCCTCTTTGTCACTCTGCCTTTAAAGTAAATGAATATATCTAAAAAAAACTTTTTAAAGTTTATTGATTTATTTGAGATACATAAACACACACACACACACACACACACACACATATGCCATCTGCTGATTATACCCCAAATGCCCCACAATAGCCAGGTCTGGGCTGAGGCAAAAGCCAGGAGCCAACAGTTGGGAACTGTAGTCAAATCTCCCACATGGATGATAGGAACTCAGTTACTTGACCTATCACCATTGCCTCCCAGTGTCTGCATTAGCAGGAAGCTGGAATAAAGAGCGAGAACTGAACCCAGGCACTCCAATGTGGGACCAGGATCTTAACCACCAGGCCAAATGCTTGGTCTCGATGCTTTTGAATTTAAATTTTTAAAATGTAATTGATAGTAATAGGATATTAAAGGTGATACGCCCTTTGTGGAAATAGTGAGAGAACACAAAAATTTCTAACGTTTGAAAAAGTTTGAAAAACCAGTGTCTATCACATGATTCCATCACATAGAAAATGCTAAAATTTTGGTTTCTAATAAGAAACAACCATGATCTCTTCTTATTAACAGTTTCAATATGAAAGGGGGAAAAAACTCAAGGAAACTAACTAGGGAGCAGCACAAGCCAGTCTATGCTGTCCTGGAGCTTTACCAGGGTTGTTGAAAGCTGACAATAACTTTATTAAGTGGACAGAGTAGGTACTCTCTTCTGTTTTACCACTGAGAAAAGTAAAACTCAGTTAAGATTGGGAAACATAAAACCCAAAGAAATATAATACATACTCAACTATTTATTAAAAAGAAAATAAATGGAAATGAGAGACAGAACATGACAAGAGAAATAAGGACCAGAGGCTAGTGTTGGTGAGATTCATGAGAAGTTGTGGCCTCACAAATAAATTATCTTAAGATATATTAAATAAGTGAAATTTCCCAGAACAACCACTAGTTGTGAAAGTTAACTAAATTTTGAAAGGTATTATTGCAATCTCTGCCTTTTCCTGTTGTTCGGTGGAATAAAATTTTACTTTATTAAATAGGGACTATCACATCTTATTTCATAGAAATACCTTTATGGAAAAGCATTCTGATTCTGTGGCCTTTCTGAATAGTGCTGCATGGTGCAGCATCCCTTGCAACATGCATGGTGCAAGGGATCTTCAGCAAATTAACAACTGATTTCAGAAAGCATGGAGACCACAAAGTAGTGGGATGATATATTCAAAGTGCTGAAAGAAAGACTGACAACCAGGCACATGTTGCACATTTTCCCTGAGAGTATTCATATGTGTATATATAAATATGTATGCATATACATATAGAAAATATATACATATATGTATATGCAAATATAGAGCATTTCTAAATTAAGATCCAAATTTAACCTGTGGGGCAGATTTTCCAGGGTTACCCCATTATGTTGTTGTGGTTTTTTTAAGATTTATTTATTTATTTGAAAGTCAGAGTTACACAGGGAGCAAAGAGGCAGAGAGAGACAGAGAGAAAGAGGGAGAGGTGTTCCATCCACGGGTTCACTCCCCAATTGGCCACAACGTCTGGAGCTGTGCCAATCTAGAGCCAGGAGCTTCTTCCAGGTCTCCCAAGTGGGTGCAGGTGCCCATGGACTTGGGCCATCTTCCACTGCTTTCCCAGGCCATAGCAGAGAATTATATAGGAAGTGGAGCAGCTGGGACTCAAACCAGCGCCCATATGGGATGCCAGCACTACAGCAGGTGGCTTTACTCGCAACACCACAATGCCAGCCCCCCATTATATTGTTTTAAGCATCCAGTTTTCAACAAACTATTCCAGGGTGTACAAAAAAGCAGCTAAGTGCAACCCATCTAGAGAAAGAATGTAATGAAAATTGCCTGAGGAAGCTTAGACTCTCTAGACATAGATTTTACATCAGATATTCTAAGTAGACCAAAAACTAAAGGGAACTTTGTGTAAAGAACTAAGGGAAAGTGTAAGAACTAAGTCTTGCCATTCTAATCAGAATACAAATAAGGAGAAAGAAATTATAACTAAGAATGAAGTAGGAATTCTGTGATTGAAAACTATAATAACTGCAATGAAAAGCTTACTAGAGGCATTTAACAGCAGATCTGAGAATGCAGAAGAAATAATCAGTGAATTTGAAGATGGGCAAATGGAGATTATCCAGTCTTGGGAGCAAAAAGGAAAAGAATTAAAAAAAAAAAAAAAAAACAAGTCTCTGTAGACCATTTGGTATACCGTCAAGCATACCACCATGTGCATAAAGGAAGACCTTGTTATACCATCAAGTATACCAATACATGCATAAAGGGAGTTCCAAAAGAAAAGAGAAAAGGAAAAATAAAATTATTTGGAGAAATAATGGAAAACATTGCCAAAAGTGATGAGAAATATGAATACACACATCCAAAAAGCTCAGTGAACTCAGCGGCTGGCACATCGCGCTGATCCAATGGCAGGAGCCAGGTACTTCTCCTGGTCTCCCATGGGGTGCAGGGCCCAAGCACTTGGGCCATCCTCCACTGCACTCCCGGGCCATAGCAGAGAGCTGGCCTGGAAGAGGGGCAACTGGGACAGAATCCAGCACCCCAACCGGGACTAGAACCTGGTGTGCCGGCGCCACAGGCAGAGGATTAGCCTATTGAGCCACAGCGCCGGCCCAGAGGATCTTAAAAACAGGAAATGAAAACAACATGCATGGTGCAAGGGATCCTCAGCAAAATTAACAACTGATTTCAGAAAGCATGGAGACCACAAAGTAGTGGGATGATATATTCAAAGTGCTGAAAGACTGACAACCAGGCATTCTGTAAAATACCATTACTTTGTTCATTAGGATTCAACATATGAATTTTGGAGAGATACAAGTATTCTGACTCAGCTGTAACAGAACCCAAGGGAAGTGGTTCAATGTTACCTTTTTTTTTTTTTTTAATCTTTTATTTAATGAATATAAATTTCCAAAG